GACTTTCCAGAAGACATACGGCTTGTTGGGGTCACGATACATACGCTTGGGTAATCCCTCCTGGTAGTTCTCAATGGCAATCTCGTGCACTTCGGGCTCCAGTTCAAAAGAGATCCTGCGATCATCAGAAGACTTCTTTGCGCTGGCTATCCTCGGTGAGGTATAATCCATAGAATCTTCATTGTCGCTATCAAAGAAGGAATCAATGGTAATGGGAGTTGCCTTCTTCTTTGGTGTCTTCTTGCTGGTTCTTTCTGAGGATGCTGAAGGCGATTGATCTGCATGTAGGAATTTACATTTGCTTCCGAACGTGCAGGTACCCTTTTGCCAATTCCAACATATCTTCTTCTTGGGTCCAGCTGAAGATGAACTTCCTCTACCTTTCCCTCTTGATGAATCTCTACTTCCGCTTCTGCCTTTCTTACCTTTCATCTTGGCATCATAGACCTTCTGAGAATGACTGTAAAGACATTTGTCACCTTTGTTGCATCCTCCTTTATTGAAGAAGTAGTTACAGAAAATCTTCTTCTTGTCAACGGGTGAAGATGATCTTCCCTTCCCACCTTTGCCTTTCTTGTTGTTCTTGTCGGCATGAGATTTCGGAGAAGGTGTTGGAAGTACTGATGCAGCTTCACTCTTCGCTTTCGCCTTAGGTCGTTTGGGAGGATCACCTGTAGACGAAGCAGCTGCTTCATTCTCCTTCTTGGTCTTGACGGGAGCAGCAGGTTTGTCAGCATCTTCCAGGGCAGGTGTCGTCTTGGTAGAGGACAATGACAGTTTCACTGCACGTTCTCTATCCTTCAACAGTCGTTCTTGCTTTCCTCGTGCTATGTATCCTTTGATCATACCAGTTAGGCAAGCATAGGTCTTCTCAGGATGCCCTTCATCAAAGGTTTTGTATCGGTTGATATCGAAGGCCATAAGTTTTGAATGTTCAATCTTCCGGAACAATGTGTCACGCAGGGAATTGTTGGAAGGTAGATCATCATGTTTCATATTGTATACGATGTCAAGCCACTTGTTGTAGAAGGCCTCAAGTTGGTCATCTCCATAGTAGTTGAACATATACAAATGATGGGCATTGTAGAGAACTTCAGTGTGGTCAGGTGACTTGAAGCTAATCAGTATCATTGCGAATAGTTCTCGTCCCTTGATGAAGTCCCCACTTCTCCCATACAGTTGGTTCTTCATGGACATGTCATACTTCACTTGCATGGACTTGTCCCCAGCATTGTCAATGACTTTCCTCAAGGCATTGGAGAGCTTGGCATCAATGGATTGGAATCTTACATCGGGTGCTTTGGCCAGCGCTTCCAAGTCAGGTTGATCTGCAAGACACGGAGCTAGCCATGCTTTCCAATTTTCATAGTTTCGATCTCCACTTGCAACACAAACTTCATGAACAACACTTCCCTTCCAGGATGAAAGTTCAGTGGTCTTAGGCCAGGGTTGGAGGCTGATCTTTTCGGCTTCTCTTAGAGATACGGATGACTTGGATCTATCCCTTTCAAGGTTCTCCAACTCCTTGACATTGGTGTTGTACTCGTTCCTGAGCTTTTCGAAGGCTTCAGCTTCTGCTCGGTATTCCTGCTCTTCATCATTGGCACGATCTTCGGCTTGAGAGAAATTGTTCTTGTAATAATCTTTCCGATCTTCCATCTTCTTCAATTCATCTTGAAGATTTCGAACCTCAGCTTTCTTCTCTTGCTTCATCTCGTCCAACTCTGCTTTCAGTTTGGCACACTTCTCTTCACATTCATTCCGAGGCATGGCATTACTGGGGTACCCATGTAATGTAGTCGGTCTATTCATTGATGAAGAAGAATAAGCTTGGTTTTCCAACTTCAGGGCAGCAATGGTGCTCGACATCTCTTCTACCTCAGCGAAACGCTCGTTGGCCAATTGATGCATCTCGGTCAAGTGGCTTTCAGGAATGGAATAGTCAGTCGCACCTTTGATCACGAGTCTTCTGTCGTTCAGCATCTTGATGGACTTACCTGCATCCCTGTGAGCACGCTCAAGAGAGTCCTTTTGGGCTTCAAGTTCAGTATGAAGGCGAGCAATAGCTGTGTCCCTGTCATTGATTTCATTGTGCAAACTGTCGACCAAGTTACTCGTCACATTCGGATTATTGCTCATGTGATCGATCTTGTTCAGAGCATCTTGATATTTCTTACCAGTTTCGTCGAAGTTTCGCTGGAAGACTTTGAGCAGGTCCTCAGTGTCAATGAGTTCAGTTCTGTTTTGCAAGTACAACTTGTCAACTTCAGCCTTGGATTCCTTCAAGCTGTCACGCTCACGTACGGCTTGCATATACATCTCGTATAGAGGTCCTCCATGCGGTGATCTGCTTGGTGAAGATCTTCTGGCTTGTTGACAGGAAAGTTCATGATACTGATTCTTCGATTCAGTTAGTTGTTGTTGCATTCGATCTAAAAGACTTTGTTTCATGTGTAGTTCAGAACGTAGTCCCATTATCCTCATGTCCCGCATGCCGCCTGATTCAGCTAGAGATTCTTCAGAAACCCTGTTCTCAGAAATCGCTATTCGAGATTGTAGGTTCTCATTTTGAATCATCTGCAATCGAAGTTGTGATTCTTCCAAAGCTAAATGATGTTCACATTCTGCATAACGGTCATGTTCAGATCTTATGTTACTACGGAACTCCTTCATGATCTCATCCCTCTTCGTGTCCGCAGCATCGAGCTCAGTTTCCAGTCGTCTAACGTTCATGGCCATGGTGTGCTTCATTGTCTGGTTTTGATTGGCAACCTCGAGCATCTCGATCTGTAAAGCACATGTTTGGTCATTAGCGTAGCCGACCGCTAGAGCCTCTTGCTTGGCATTCATCTCTGCGTTTTCCAGTTCCAGTCTGAGTTGATTGATGTGAGCATTCGCATCAGCGCCCACATGTACCATGATTGCGCTCGCTTGTCCCATTTGTTCATCGAATTCCGAACGTAGTCGTGAATATTTGAATTCCAAATGAGATGCAGCTTCATTCGACATAGTCTGGTACCTTTCCAACTCTTCGATCCTGTAGGTCGCACCTTCATCTTCTTGTTGTGCAGCCTGTAACTCGAAGTTCAGCATCTGGAGTTGTTCGGTCATCGACATCATCTCTTGATGAGTGGTGTTTTCCAGGAAATTAAATTGTTGATAGGCATATGCCGTCGTCTCGGTCAATCTTGCCTGAAGTACGGATTCCTCTTCAGTGGCCTTTTCCAGTGATGTCTTGTATTCAGCTAGTTCACTCTGATAGGCAGTGAAAATGTCGCTACCACTTGACGGGGCGTTCACTTGCTGATAAGATCCTGTCCCTGATGGAGTAGCGTCCTGAATCGGTGAAGGCGGATTCGACGACGTAGTCTTTGCCTTAGTCCTTGGAGTCATCGGAGGCGACAATTGTCGTGCAGATGATCTTCTCTTTCCAGGTGTGCTGTCCCTATCTTCAATAGCTTGCATTGTCGAAATTTGTCTCCCTCTAGGAGCAACCAGAGGTCGCCTGGGTAGGCTTGTTCTCAATTCTGAGGCATCGCTTCCACCAGTGTCGATACTCTGTGAAGAATTTGACTGCGTGCCGGCAGCTGGTGCAACGGCATGTCCAGAAAAAGAAAATGCATTATCGCTGCTATCCTGTTCAGTCATCTGTAAGGCCCGCGGCTACCCGCTCGTAGGCTCCGTAGGAGTCCTACGGCTGATAACCTGCGAATCGGTGATTGTCTGTCCGATTATGTTCTGATTCTTGGTTTTGAAGTAGACACTTCAGCGATGACGTTACACAGGTGGCAGCTTCCGCATGGCAGATCTTTGTTCTGGTGCTGCAGTGGGTCTTGAGCCAAAAGGGCGATTGTCATACCCTTTGGCTGTGGATCTTAGAGTGTTGAATTATGTGATATTGTACAAGGGTCCGTAGCCTACACTCTATTCGCATGAATAAGTCACATATCTTTATGTTTGGCTGAAATAGGGATTAAACAACACAATTTCGGAATTGTTGTAGGGATGTGTTTTCACAGATCTGCTAGATGAATGGGGATTTAACTATTTAAGTCCCAACAAATATCAGAATCATAGGGATATATATATATATGTGAAGCCACATATGTATATATATATAATTATATATATATATGTACATCTGTATCATTCATATACACCATCGAAGCCAAACTGGTTGATATCAGCCATAAGTGCTTCTGGTGGGTTAAGCCACCTTGAATATATGTCATATATATGGGTTTCTTTTGGCATCGTCAGTTCATGACTTTAGGTGACACATTTTTTTAACATCAATGAGCCACAAAAATGCGAAGAAGATTTCCAGGTTCCTGGATAAACAGTCAGGGGGTCCAACACCAACATTTGGGTATGGGTCAAAATTAGGTACCCCAATAATTGGATGGTTAATACTAAACTAGACTAACATCTGTGGTCCCCTAGGTCTTCCATTTTGACCCACATCCATTTCGTGTCAGTTATTTTCTGGTAGTCGCATGGTTGGACCAGGAGATTCTCGTTCCGTTGACACGTTGGATTACCACAGGGAGCTGCGAGCCTTAAGGCAGGTGGGGACGTGGACTTTTGATGGGGACGTGGATCATGATTTCTCTGCATGGTCAGTGGAGAAATGGTAGAATTGAAGATGTACACTCCAGTATAAATTAACACTTCGACCCTGCCATTTTTTGGGGCTGGACGATTAGTTTCCACTCAAACTGGTTGATTTTCAGGGTCCAACTGTTAATTTACCACAGGATAAAATTGACATTCCAAGTTGACACCACATCTGGGCGACGAACTCAGATCCGTGAAGTCAACGTGAAAAAATCATCATTCGGATCATCCAATTTTGCGAAGCTAATTAATGTAGACATTGGCCGTTTGAAACACGGAAAAATGCTTCAGGATTCTGCATGAGCACTGATAATGACTCTATGATTTTCCCATATTATCCAGTCATATCCAGTCCAGCAATGCTCAGGGAGTGGCTTTGATCATCACCATGGGGGACGGCTCTGACCCTTTCGGATGATCGGATGGTCCTCTTGACGGGAAGGAAACTCTGAGAGCAGATCCAGTGCGAGGTGAACGACGTCAGAAGCATCGTCCTGAAGAATTTTCTGGTGGATTTTGAAGTGATGGACAACGTCCATGGGTAAATCACGGTATCAAAAAAAAGGAGTACCTATATCTAATGGATTCTGATGTGTATATCAGGGGAATATCGTCATCTTCAATCTCAGATATCTATTATATAGATGTCTTGCATTTTTTTTAGAAGCATGGCGCGCCCAAGTCGTTTCATCTCCAACTCTTCTCCAAGGGCATACGCTGATGCTTCGGGTCTATCTTTAAGCCCTTTGAGCTTTCCCACGAGGTGGAAAAGACCAGCAAATGGCGGTGGATTGTTGGGGCTAACCCGTTAGTTCCAGCTTCACAATTACTAATACGCCTATTTTGGGATGCACACTGACCCAAGACGATCCAACCAAAATACTCACGGCCGAACCGGCCGTTGAATGTGTGATTCCCCATGATTCCCCTATTTTCCCTACTCAGTTCTTACACCTATCATGACTGGAGCACTGGCAAAGCTATCTATTACTCAACTGGGTCATGTAAATGATCATCAGTGTCAAACTGATTGTCGATTTCAACGAAATTCAAATTTCAAATGATACTGTGGATGGCCACCGTATGAAAGGACCGCTTGGGTCAAAAAAAGGACCAATGAGGTGGGAAAATTGACCTCGCTCGGAAGAGTTTTACCTTTTTGACATCGTTTATGGATATTTTTGGGTCAAGTAACAATCCCAATCCCTACATACCTATATATACCTATTGTAGTATACATTGTACTAGAACCCCTATTTGTAATATAAATTTGGGTCTAGTTTATTGTTAGTATAACCCCATATAACAACCAATTGAAAAACAGTCCCACAAAACTCGGCTTTCCGCTCTCCGTTCACCAGGCCTGCAGGCAAAGAAGATAGGCTCCCTGGAACTCCTGTTGCTTCCCCATGGACTTCAACGCAGCGAGTCGGATCGATGAGTCCTTGTCCTGCGATGCCCCAGAGTTATGAGTGTTCGCTTATGTCCACCTAACTATAGTTACCATCACCATAAACCCAATCGTTCAGCTAGATGATCGACAATGGAAGTTCATGCACAAAATCTGATGAATTTTGGGGTCATTTTTGGTAGGCAGACTTGTCTAGAGATCCCAATATGATCGGCGCGATAGTAGTATGTTTTGTTCATGTCGCGTAAACGGGTGAAAACGATTGCCACTAGCTTCAAAAAGCTGGATGCATTAGATATATAATTATGTAAATAGATGATTTCATAATTCACCAACTTGAAATGTTTTGGCCCTTCAAATGGGATACCCCAATCTTATCATTTCAAATGGGATATACTCGCCCCATTGAGATCTTCATCTGAAAAACGCAAACCGCTAAAATTGCGAACCTGAAATGTCGTGCCATTTGAGGATGATTTCCCTATTGTTTCCCCTACCAACCATCATCATTCCAGTGAGGGAGAACAGTGAGGTCGTTATAATTTACCCAGACATATGGATGTATATATATATATAAACATCATATACCCATATGCTCCATGGTGGCGGTATATTTACCTAGATGACTGGGTGATCTTTCGTGCAAATTTTGGTAAATATTCCAGCACCATGGAGCATATGGGTATATGTAGGGTCGTGTATGGTCATTATGAATGGTTGATTGTGGTTGATTATGGTTATATGAATCTACTTTGGGGCTGCAGTTGGGACTGTTTGTTTCTCTTTCTCGCACCAAGGAGTCGACCATATTCTAATTTTGGATGCTGACTCGATTCATTCATCTGGGTAGAGAGAGATAAGGTAAAATGCTGTAAGAATTGGGTCAGTTCTATCTGGGTACCCATGAAAATATCTGGCTACCACTATCTTTAATTTAAGGGTAAATCACAATAGTTCACTGACCTGAACTAATTGGGGATAATTCCCCTCACTAACCATCATTCAAGTGAGGTCGCAGCAAAGTCAACCCTGGAATAATCAGCCCCGAACGGCTGTTTAATTGGGGGGTATCAAGTAAGTATCATATCAAATCACTATGTGGGCTGGGTACCCCCATAATTCATCAACTATGGATTATTTTTAGCCGGGGATGACATCACGAAAAACATCGAAAAACTACAAAACACTACTCTTGTTGGGTCATGGTCCATGGTTGCTTTTTTGATACGCTTAAACCATACTTTTATTCCACGCTTAATGATGGTTATTTTGAGCTGTATCCCCATGACTATCTCATGCATCAAGCCTTTGGGGATGCTATAGAGTAGAGCCCATCTTTTCCCGGCTCATCTCCTGCAACTGCTTGAGAAGGAACTCAGAGATGGACGTCTCCGACTTCAGCCAGGGCCTGAAATCTCACCGTTGCCCCTGAGGTTTTGCTATGCAAATGGGTGGGTTTTTGTTCCCAGGGGAAATCTCGGAAACCATTTGGAAACCTAACCGTCTTTAACAGCGTTTTTGTTTGGGATGTCCGGCTTCGAGTTTCCCATCATCCAAGTCTGGGATTGATTCTGTCTTCAATGGAAAAATATCAACCTGCATGCCGCATTTATAGTTTTCCAACGAACATTCGGATTATGCATCTCAAAGAGACCAGATACGACCAGCATAAATTGATACAACAAATTCTGATGAAGGGGTACACCTGAACATTGGTATTTCAGTTTAGCAAGCGTAGCAAAACATCCCTTCCCGAAAAACATCATCATTGATGATTGAATTCCAGAATTGAATTTTTGTTTATTGCACCATGTCTTTATCATATACGCATTTACCCATCCCGCACCGCTACTTTGGGCCGAGAAAGAAAACATGTGTAAATCAAAAATAATTCACTAACCTGAAATAAGGCTCGATAGTCTTCTCGAAAGGGAGCCACCCCCCCCGGCGTATTCCCCCTCTACCTGGAATAAGGCCACATTGGGATGATTCCCCATATTAATGATTCCAGTGAGGTCGCAGTGAGGTCATTATAATATTCCCAAATATAAAGATAGGTTGTGTCATATATCATACAGTTATAAGTTATAATTCATCCAGATCTTTTAATCATGCTGAATTTTACTACTTCACATGAAAATAGCTGTTATCATACGGTCAGCCATGGAAATGATTCATGATGATTCCCCATATTACAAACCATCATTCCAATGAGGTCACATTCTCATGATAATTCACCCAAATCGATCAGATAAATCATCATGATTTATTCACCCAACTGGGCAATCAACCATATCTAACTTAATTCTTATGACCATCATCAACCATACTCAACCCATTACTGACCATAGTAGTTTATACCCTCTGGTTATTCACCGTAGCTCTGGAAAATCCTCATTTTTGCTAGGTAAATCATCGTAAATTGTTATGGGTCAAAACCCAGGTACCCTTGGCACAGTAAGATAGCTGGTTAATGGATGGTTATTCCCCAATATATGGTAATAATATGTAATAATATGGGTAAAACGGTAAAACAACAATAAACCATTTCCAATTTCACCATAAATAGATGCCATGGTTATCATTCCCAGTCATGGCTGGTTTATGACATTGTTTTATCTCCATTAATGTCAACCCTGGATTAATAAACCCCTAGGCTGTTTAATTGGAATCGCAGGGTACCATTTTAGTATTAGATTATGACTATTGGAGGAGTACCCCCCTAACTAATAAACCATAGGATCTAATCCGGGGTTGACATTACCATCTGGTAAACAAACAGTTCGCTATTGAACATGGTCATAGAAATAGTTGATTTACCCATGAAACAATGGTGGATCTTTCCATAGTTTTTTGTATGTTTACCAGGCCGGGTAATAGGTTTTGAAGTTTTGATCCCCACATCATCGAACCGGGGCGGCCAGCCACGGTGCCTGAGGCATCTCAACGCCGCAGCACGCAGCGCCACATCCGTTGACTCCGCCAACTCCAGCAACAACGAGACCATCTCCTGCGCAGCTGAACTGGTTGGTGACGGTTGGTGGTTGAGCCCAACCCCTCTGCAAAATGATGGAGTGAAAGTCAGTTGGGATTGCTATTCCCAACTGAACGGAACAATAAAAAATGATCCAAAATGTTCCAAACCACCAACCAGCTGACCTTCGGTAACGTAGGAATTGGACATCCTCTATAAATGGAGGTTTATAGCTGGGAAAATCATCTATAAACGCTGGATTTAATTGGACAATCATCGAACTGACTGAATGGTGGATTTTCAAGCACGCCACGTTTGATGGCCGGAGGACGATTAAAAGGATTTTCCTTTGATATTGGTGATTTTTCTGTAATTATGTAATATTCCAAATCATTTCGGTGGTATTTCATCATCCTAAATCGGAGGAAGCCAAATAAATCAAATAATACATCCCAACTGGTTCTTTAAAAGGATTTCCCATATATGATGGATTGTGATGATCATCAATATATTGGAAAAGAATAAATATATATATAATTTCAAATAAAAATGATCAAACCGGGGTTTTGAACACTGCAAACATATTTTCTTGCCGGAAGAATGTGAGATGGTCTCTAGAACAACCGAAATTGTCACCAAAATTCGATTTGACAAAACTTCAATCGCAGTCAGCATAGGATTTTCCAAAGCGCCAAACTTCAGATGTAGGCAATGGCAATACGCCGATGGCATCATGCTTAGCCCATGATGACATCACGTATCCTCAGTGATCTCTGCATCAAGATCGACGAGCACTTGAAGCGCGGCAATCCTCGACTCAAACAACTGGTTTCAACGCATGAAAAGACCACTGTTGGGCCTACTGTTGCGGGAAATCTCACAAAAAAACATAATTCTCTGGGGATCTTCCACATTTGAATACCAGAATATATCAACTAAGAAGTCTCAACTTCAAATTGACCCATCTCTAGATGATTTTCCCATGATTTCTTCAGCTATGATAGTGATCTGATTGAGTGGCTGCTGGTTTCAACAAACCAAAAAATGAAGGAAAGTCAATTGAACTTTTGATAAATCATCATACCTAATAGGATGGACAATAAGCAAATGGAAACCACCAGCCAAATGCGTTTACTATTGTCTATGTGTTTTTAAACGGGGATGCGAACCAGTCATGGCTGATGGGTACCACAACACAGAGCGTTCAAAAAGCAACGAAAACCTTCGAGTCCATCTGTGAGTCGACACAAATTGGGAGCCGAACTCTTTGAACCCACTTAGCTGTTCTCACCCTGCAATAACATATATAATCACATATATAATCACATATATAATCACATACATATATATATATATATATTCATAATGACCATTAATGACCTAAAGGGATTTGGCCGATCTGGTCCCGTGACAATCTACAATTGTCATCGGTGGTCCTCGACGTCTGCAAGGAGTTCTCATCTTTGGCTTCTTGTAGGAGCACTTGGACACCCATCACCTGTTTCTTGGTTGACTTCACTGGTGAGAAACACCTGGATACAGTACACCATCATATAATCATATACCATGAGCTGGTCTGAAAATCGGGTATCCCCTATAGTACCCTCAAAATCTCATGGTTGATCATCATAGTTTTTGATATGCTCCATTAGAACGAAAGACATATGACACGTAAAGTGGCTCAGGGTCCCAAGTTCAGGCATGATCGATGTTTGAAGGGGCCACTGATCAGGGCAAATCAGCTCAGCTTGAGAACTCAGTGGCATGATTGGAGAGTAACTGAGTGTGTCTGAGAATGAGGTACAACCCAATTTACGGCCGCTTTCATGAGCAGAATCATGATAAACAATAAGATAACCATCAGATTTAACGGGCTTGTTCCATCATTTTCACACCCGAAGGTGTCATTGACTCATTGACCCCGTAAAAAGAAAAAACATGGGGTGAAATCAGCAGGGCGTTTCAGGAAGCTTTACCAAAAAAAAACACTGGGGGCCTCACCTTAAGTAAGAACTATATAGATATACGTCTCATGATACTCATAATCTCACCGTAATCAGAGATTGTTGGCTCTGTCAGGCGTTTGAAACGACATGTCACAATTCCAGCTGGGTAAATGGGGAATTTCTCACGATTCTTCATCACCCTGGTGGAAATCGACCTTGTATTCTGCTAGCGAGGCCAAGTTCTGGTAGGTCTTCATGCAAAGTTGTCGACTCTCCCCCTGAAGCTGGAAGCCCCTGGCCAGTTCACGAAAGATGCGGTCATCCACTCCTGCGTAGCTAAGCGGGGGGAATCAAATATGCCTCTGGTCTCCCCATGTTGATCCATTTTCCGCATTCGGAGAATCTATAGATACTTAATATAGAAGATCTGAATAGACATCTATAGTCCATAGATAGATAGTGACAATTATGGAGGAATCTCTCGTGGATTCTGAATCTGGAAAACTAATGTTGTTGCGAGCTTTTCTAAAATCATCCAGAATTAGTCATTGTGCATGGGGAGACCCATGGAAAAAGGTGGTGTCTGGGTATAGCAAGCCGCGTAGATGATGTCTTCTCCACAATTTCAAAGTTTCCAACCTTTCTATTTCAGGGTTTCTATACATCACTTGTGATAAACACATATATATATATATATATATATCTGATTGGTGGCTTCAACCCCTCTGAAAAATATGTTCGTCAGTTGGGATTATTATACCCAACTGAACGGAAAAATAAAATTCATGTTCCAAGCCACCAACCAAATATATATATATATATATATATAATATATATATATATCAAACATCATTGAAAAAGGGGTTTACCCACTATGATGTCATTGGACATGTCCGAACCTGGCCACTTATCTCGATGAATCTCCCCGATTTCTGAGGTTCTCCCATGAAAGCGGAAAATTCGGAAACTGACCATGGGTATTCATTAAATATGTCGATCATTTATTGGATATAACATTAATGATATATATATATGTATGTATAATATATATATATATATTATAGTATTAGGTGTATAAAAATATATATATATATATATCATATATATATATATATATATATGGGTTCTAAAAATGGGGGATCCCCAAGTCACCATGGTTGTTCCAATACTAAGTGATGGTCATTCATGACTTGGATGATTTGGGTTTCCGGTATCCCCATCCCTGTGCGTTGCTTCACCCAGTTTTGCTTGTCATTCAGACTCAGCTCCATACACTCTCGATTCTTGATAGTTACCATTAGTATCCATTAAATTACCTATCTAGAGGTTTCCGTTTTGTCATGGGGCTACCCCCAGTTCTCATCCAGTTCTCATCCATTTTAGATTGGGATTTTCCATGAATGTGGTTAAAACAATGCCATAAACCACCCCATTTTTGATGGTCTATACCCCCCATGTATGGTGATTTTGGGGATGGTTTATGGCATTGTTTTAACCAGATTCCAAGGTACCCCATGGCTATGGAAAGCCCATGAAGCTCGGCCTCCCATCTTCGCCATGGCCATGAATTCCCGCGCGAAGGCGGAGGCGGCACTGAGTCCGGGTCCATCTCCGGAGGGTTTCGTCGCAAGTTTCGAGGCCAGGGCGAAGAGCACTTCCTGATTCAGTGGTTTTCTAGGGAAAATCTTGACCGGAAATCATGGTTTTTACCAGGAAACCATAGTTTTTACCATGAAAAATTGGGTTTCCTGTAAATTTCCCCTAGAAAACCAATCCAATGACTGATGGTTTTTTTTTCGATTGAACATCTACAAGGTGGTGCCCCCCCCAGTTATAAATTGTGTTTAAGCCCATTAACTATAGACATATCATATATCACCTATAAACCAATAGTTATTGGACTTATGTTCACCAACTAGCTATCGAAGGGGGGCATCACCTTGTATGGAACCTCTAGGGAAATCTATGGATAAATCTATGGGTTTTTCTCATCAGATCTAATTTTGTTGGAAGGGGAAACATGTCATCAACAAGGAGGGATCTAAAACATATCATCCAATGATAATTCTGTTTCTCTGAAACTTGGAAGGGGATTACCTTCTGGTACTTCTGGCGTCATCAATTGTGATTAGATTATTCCTGTACTCAATGAAGGTTTTAGTTCGCTGGGAAAATCATCGCACTATTGCTGGTTTGGTAAACTCTAGCGATGGAACATAGCTTATTTATAGATAAATTATTAATTAATATAGATGTAGTTTGGGTATGATAGATAATTTTTATAGCTGAAATAGATGATTTATACCAAATTAATCCATCAAAATCCCCTATGAATCATAGCTATTTTATGATCTATTTATAGCTTAGATGATGTTTATCTTTTATAAACCCTGCCAAGCCAAGCCACCATTCCCAAAACTCAACGATCAAATCAGGGGATGCAACCCTAATCCATCGATCATGGTGGTCAAAAGCTTGAAGAATATCATGATCAATTTCTATGGACATACAAACTGGTTGGTGGTTTATGTGGTTGACCTCCCCCTCTGAAAAATGATGGAGTGCGTCAGTTGGGATTTTATTGTAATAGCTACCCTCTGGTAATAGCTGACATGGCTATTGAATATTACCATCTGGTTATGACTAACATAGCCATGGAAAGATTCACCATTTTTAAGAACGGTAAACCATCTATTTCTATGGGCCATCTATACCATGGCTATGTTAAATAACCAGAGGGTATCAATTTGTATGGACATTTAAAATCTGTGTTTTCTTAGAAATTGGTGGGTTGTATCATCCAAAAATGGCGTTTTTTTTTGCATCAAACCTTCCAATTCAAGCAACAACAAGGGAAAGTCATTCTTGTCAGGGCTGCTCCCTCCAGATAACAAAAAGGATGCCCCTCCGTCTGGAACAACTTGGATGTAGTGGTTGGAACATGGTAGCTATCAAAATGATCGAACCATGAAAACTGAGGGTCAAAACGCCCAACAAAATCCAAGATATTGAAAATTCATGGAGATTAGAATCTATCTGAATTTATAATTTCACCAGAAAATAAGGGCTAACCAGAACACACTGTCCTTCATAATCAAAAACATCAACAATATGGATTCACCACAAGAAACATGGATAGAAAATGAATGACCATTGAGCCCAACAAAATCCCAGCTTCATATGTCCCTTTGCGGCAAAGCTGAGGCGTAGCCACTTTCTTCAAGCCGTTCCAGGCGCTGCGCAGCAGCTTCGCAGAGTCTGGGCTTCGCAGCAAACGCTTTCCCTTCCTGCAGGGTCGATGTTGCCATAGTTATGGGGATACCCCAATAGCTGGATAGTTTAGTTCATGGAAAATCCCGTTCAAATGGATGAGAACTGGGGGTACCCCATGACTTAGAAACCTCCATTTCCACAGAGCTTTTTCGAACGGGTCATGTAAACTGGAAATCCCAATAAAAGGCAACCATTATCAGGCAACAAACTGTGAGAGGAAAATGATAGCCATAAAAATCCACAGCACAAACAGTGTAAATTGGCCTGTTTACCTCTATGTCTATAATTATTACTCATCCAGATTACCCCTCAAGCGTACCGTACGGGTAGCCAAGATGTCATTCCATTCGATGAGGATTTCGCCCAAACATCCCCACCATACAACCTTAAATATATCAATTTTATCTCTACATCAGTTCCTTCAACTGTTGCGCTGGAATTTCAGCCCTTCACTGGAAACCTACATTGGTTTAAGGATCAATCTTCACCGGAAACCATGGGCTTTTTCCATGCTGTGTTTCCTATGAAATATGCGGGTTTCCGGCCAATTTTCCCTTCAACCAATCCATTTCCATGGTTTTTCCGCGTTTCCCCTGTCCTCAAGAAGCGTAAGAGACTCCGGATGATGTGCTCGTCCCCCTCTCGCCCATGGTCCATGACTTGCGCCAGCGCATCGTGCGTGTCCGTCTCACCTTGGATGGGTCTAGGGAAAATCTACAGGAAGCCATGGCTTTTACCATCAAATATACCCTCTGGGAATAGCTGACATAGCTATTGAAAATGGCCATTTATAGTTGATTTACTCAGAAAAAATGGTGATTTTCCATAGTTATGTTAGTTTGTCAGAGGGTAGATAGAGGTTTCCTAGAATTTTTCCCTTGAACTAATCCAATGAAATCGTGAATTCTGGTGAAACGAGGTGTCAATCGCTTGGAAATACATATGGTTAGGGGACTTTATGTAGTTATATTTGCTCTAATGGTAATAATAATGTTGTCTTGTACAGATATTACCACAAATGTGCTAAACAAAAATAATGAACCATTCCTACTATCACCATTATTATGGGTGGTAACTAACATCCCCAAATGGCAAGCAGGTTTATGGCAGCCAGGGTGAATCCCACATTACCGTATTCATATCCAATCAATATCCCACAGTATATCTATATCCCATAGTATAATATAGTATATCAGTATATATATATATATATAAAAACACCTATTTAATTCCATCTATTTATAGAAACATAATCAATATCCCATATGTATATATATATAATTATATATCTACCTGTTATAGATGTTTTCCCCATGAATTCCTCCAAGGCACTCAAGCCCTTCTCCAGCTCCGCGCAGATAACCGGCATCGCTTTCGAGTACGTCTCCACCGCAAGGCTGATCAGCGCGGAAGCGCAGGTTACGGCCAAGAGCTTCTGCGAGCGAAGCATGCAGGCCTGACACGTGACATTTTTATAATGAATTCCATGGAATAATATGTCTTGATTATATCTCTATATATACATAATACATATATATATATATACACACTAGATATTCCATGATATTTCTTGACGTATGTAATGAAATGTAATTTTCAATGCAATGTAGCGTAAGGTATGTTATGAAGGAATGTATATATGAATGCATGCATGCATGTATGCATGTATTCATGCATGCAAGTATGTGTGTATGTATATATGTATTTTTGACATACATATTCACAAATATGTATACATATATACAAATATGTGTATTTGAGACATACATACTCACAAATATGTATATGTGTATTTTAGACATACATATTCACAAATACGTATACATATATACACATATGTGTATTTTAGACATAAATATTCACAAATATGTGTACATATATACACATATGTGTATTTTAGACATACATATTCACATATGTGTCTATGTCGCCAAATATGTTTATGTATATATATATACAATAATATAGCTGTGAAAATATGAGGCAGTTCAAATAGATCATCCATGGTGATCCTATGGAAAAGTCAAGGCAAAACCTGGGAACAGCACATGTTTAAGAAAACATGTTTGTCTCGAACCTATGTTTAGACATGTTTAGACATGTTTAGACATGTTTAGACATGTTTAGACATTTCCATATGCATTTGTAACCTATGTTTTTGAAAAAATGCGGATGTTCTTCACTGGCATGTCTGCTTCCAAAGGATGGCGTCCTGGTTCCGGAACATGCGATTGCATGACTCTCATAAGTTGGGGAAATGAAGATGATTTATCCCAAAAAATTGCCATGGTAGACACCGGACACAATTGCTCCTTCAAGCAATTCCCGTTATGCCGCTGCTTACCATACATAATTATTTATATTAATATATATTTATGTGCAAATAAATGTATCTCTATTTCAAAGCCATCTATTCTGAAATGGATCCATTCCATTCGTTTCCAATCAGTGCCGCGCCTCCAGAGCTTCCATCATCTCTACATCATCTCCGCGCACAAAATACCTGGCCGCTGTGGCCGCCCGCGCCTGCTGCCAGACTGCGACGTCGACGTCGAGATGGCGCAGAAGGCACTGACGGGCCTTGGTGGGTTGGTTTTTTTCTAAGCCAGGGACAGGGAATTTCATGATTCTCTGCGTGGAGATGAGTTTAGCCACGTTGTTACAACATGTTACAACATGTTACAACCAACTAACATAACTACTTGGAGGATCGTGAGAAAGTGGTGAGTGTTTGGGGGGTTGGGAATAAGCCACGTATTTCAATGGGATAACCCTAAGAACCGGGGGCAAACTCGATCACTAGCGGGTCATTTTCACCACGATCCCACGATCTGTGGGATGATTCTCCAAGTATGGGCCAAAATGGATGAGTTAAAGGGAGAAATTTCCGTCTAGCGAATCAAACATTGATTTTATATACCTGCAGTTATGGCCCTTCATCAGTTTTAAATGGTGATACGTTAAAAAAATATATGTATATATATATATATAAATAGTTTCAACTGGGGTTCTCATGAACCATTAGTAACCATAGGTGATTTCACTGATTTAAGTGGTATTTTGTGGGGCCAAAAAAACACTATGGTCGCCCAGTGGCTGCATTGTCATGTCGCTGACTGGTCAGCTTCAGGCTGTCATAGAGCGGCCCTTGAGATCCTCAAAACGAAGGCGGCAGATGCGGCAAATGCTGCGAGTTGGGGAACTGCCAGGGTTTCATGGTTACCCTCTGGTAATTTGATGTAATTTTTGACACTTTGCTATTGAACATGGCCCAGTCGAAATAGTTGATTTACCCATTAAACATGGTGGATATTTCCATAGTTCTTTGTATGTTTACCAGGCCGGGTATATCATGTGGAATTACATCCCAATTCAGTGAGGTCATATGTGGATATATATATATATATAATATATATATATGTATATATATGCTGGTTGGTGGTTTTAACATGTTTTAACCATCTTGAAAAATATGAGTTCGTCAGTTGGGATGATTCCAATCTATGGAAAATGTTTGAAACCACCAACCAGTATGTGGAAATAGATGGTAATATCCAAATGATACTAGGTAAATTAAGGCTATAGTGGGATACAGTGGTTACCCTTACTAACCATGATTTTTGACATTAGGTCACAGTGAGGTCGGTATAATTTACCCAAATGTATGGTATATTTACCCTACATTGGGGTGATGTTGGAGATAACCGTGTTATAAATAAATATTCCATGGAACATCAGCATATGGGAACTGGACGTCATGGGACATCTACTTGGGTCATTGACTTCAACCAAGGATCTGGGGTGCTCCTGTTGCTGTTCACGAAACTTGGGATCAAAGAGAGCGGCCTCCAAACCTCAGATGTGAGGCAGTTGGGGAAGGACAACAGGAGAATGTACACAGGAATGGCATTAATGGTGAGGGTGAGGATCAAATCTAAATAAAAACAGTGCACTAGACAACATCGGACATCTCACCTTGGTCTTACATCTCTAGCTGCATCCGAGGTTAAAGATCCAATTCGGATTCGATCTCTTACATCTTTCAATCCTTGGTCCCCCTTTCATATCTTTCGTGCCTAAGGTAAAAAACACTGCCATAAACCGCCATAAACCCATCCCCATTTGCATTGGCTCCCGCTCACCAAGGGGCATCCAATGACAGCTTCGGCATCCTCGCATGGGGAACATGGGGAACTCCGAACTCCGGCGGGATTTTTCGATGGCCATGCTGGAGGGGAAATCCCACTTATTTTCATTGCTTTAGGTGGCTCAAATCACAACTTCTCCGCTTTTTTCTGGGCGAATTCCTCCGTTTCTTCATGAAAAACAGGGTTTCTCAGTCCAGGGTTGATGGTAAGCCACAGTTTTTCCCATTTTGCTTGGTCAAAACCCTTACTGTAAATCTGTAACGTTTCCGAAGTTTCGCCCACCATAGTCCACCGGTGTCAGCTTTTTCTCAAAAAATCAAGCTTGTCCAGAATTGCAGGTGAAATCGACATATTCCAGCCACTCAAATCCCAAACCACCAGCAACCTCCCCATTCTTACATGCGAGAATCAAACAAACTACTACTCAAATTCGTTCACCATTTCTGATCAAACCATTTTTCACCAGCCGATGTTTTCTCCTCATTTTCCGATCATTCAACTCAGCATGGTTGGTTTTCACATCTTCCCACCTCTCCAGTTTCCAGTTTCAGCCAGGTTTGAGTCTGAAAATTCGGGGAAACCACCCTTAACTCCCGGTTTACGATCATCCTTTTCCTTGGATGCCAGGTTTGGGTACCCCGTGACCCCGTGACCGATGCTTCGAAGACGCACAGTGCCCTTCTAAGCGCACGAAGAGCTCGAAGGCTTCCCATCGATCCTCCGCCCCGCCGCTGTTCAAAGACGAGATGATCCGCTCCTGGGACGACGGCCACGGGGAAGTGGGGAAATGAAGGTTTTTGTTCGACATGAAAAATGGAAAATAAGGATTTGAAAGCCCACAAAGAGTGGAAATTATATGTGTGTGTATATATGTACATGAATAAATAAATAAACAAATATATATATACACATATATATTCATTTATTTATCTATTTATTTATTTATGTACCTCTTGTTGAAGATGAAGAAGACTTGCTACACATTCTGGATTCACCAGAAAATGTTGAAACAGGTTTCCTGAATCTGCCAGTAGACCTCCGGGGGGTTTTCAGAGACTATTGCCATGCGCAGCCATCCAAAGAACACCATCCCAACATATCCCAACAACATGACTGTGTCTGAAAATGGGTGATATTCAAACTTGCCATTTCAAGGGGGAAAATTATGATAAATGCATATATAGATGATGGGATTTCAGATGTTTCCCCATCATCTTCAGAGAACCCACCCTGTATCCTATCATCCCCACCGCGTATCCGCGTCAAGCCCAGGTGCCAGGCTTGGAAAATGTCCCAGGGAGCCCAAATGAGCCACTGCAAGCAAGGCCTGCTGCCATAGACACTCAGTCATTTTGGTGCCAGTTTGATGCCATTTAATTACCATCAATCATTGGCATTTATATGTATATATATATATATTTAATCCCATGTTTTTTTTTGATGGGATATAGCCATTTGTGCAAGCAAACCCTGGTGATCAAGAAAATGAGTAGCCATCTATGAAAAGGACATCTATGGTACAGGTCAAATGGACTGTGCGACCTCAAGCTGTGGAAATTGAATGATCTGGAAGGGCACGGGAATAGCGGTTTCATCACCAAGTTTTCTCGTGAAATTTCATTGGAAGAAAACATCCCAGTTCTAAACCTCGCATGGTCTGCTTCTCCAAATCTTCCATCATTTTCCGCATTTTTTCATGGTCAATCTTTGGTAGTCCACAAAAAAATGTCATCTCTTGCTGGCTATTATGTCATTTATTTTCCATTTGTAGCAAAAAAAACACATCCGGATGAGTTCTTACCCATCCAGTCGGGCATGAGCGCACCTCTTTCCGTGGGAAGCCGCCGCGTCGTTGGACTGCTGGATCTGGGCCTGGTGGGGCATGATGGAAAGCCATGGAAAGCCATGGAACAACCCGCAGTTCTAGTTGGTAAAACATCTATGCCAGCACACTCCCTGTGACCTCTTTGATTTTTCCCAATAAAGGGGACACTCAAGTGACCTAGCCAACGCCCATTTTTTTGGGTCTACGTGACGTATACGTGACTTCTAAAAGATGTCACAGAGAACGTCCTGGTGGCTGGACATTTCAATAGCGAAATCACAGCTGGGTAATTGGATATGTGGATATATTGGAATATCATATATCAGAATATGATATAATCCTACTTTCGTGGATTGGTTTAAGGGACATTTATTGGAACCTATTGAAACCAGGAATTTCCTAAACCTGGAATTTTCCGTCAGGGGATGGAATCGAACCAACATGGAACCAACATTGCTTGAACATGGGAGGTCAGCGAACTCAAGTTCTGGTGATCCAACAGCGAAAAAATACCCAACTTGGTTATTTAACATATGGCTCACGTCAAGATGATTTACGCTGATTTACCAATGAAACATGATGATTTTCCATAGCTACGTTAAATAACCCGAAGGTAAATGTTTCATACATGTTTAAATTATGAACGCCAGGGGCATTTTGTAGTGTCCCATATTTTTCGCTACATGTTCGATCAAACTGTCAAAGACCAGAACGGCTGGTGAATGGCTGGTGATTCCTAATCCCAAAGTATCCCACATATATAAAACTGGTTGGTTGTATACCTACCCCTCTGAAAAATATGAGTTCGTCAGTTGGGATGATTATTCCCAATATATGGAAACATAAAATTCATGTTCCAAACCACCAACCAGAAAGGGTCGCAGAGTTCTCTGTGGACATAGACCAGACGGGGTTCCTGAGATGGGACAGTCGTTGAAAACACCAAGGACGATGACCTTTGGGGCCCTCGTATGAGTTAAGATATTCTCAATTTTCTGTGGTTTAGGTGACCTAAATGCATTGTTTTTCGAAACAAAACGTTCTTGGGTCTTGGAGCCGCGCTTTTCCAACTCCGCATTTTGCCCAAGTTTCCTTCAAATCAACCCGTTTTCCCCATTTTTTCGGCTTACCCTTCGGTCATCTCAGAGTTTGCTATGCAATCGCCATTTTTCATAGGAAACACATATTCTACAATGTGGCCCCCCAGTTATAAGTTGGTTTAGAAACTTCATTCACATCCATTATTTATAGCTATATATGAATCGTAAACCAGTGAATTTGGAGTTATTTTCACCAACGTTTCGCGACGACTCGTTGGGGCCCATAGACTCTACGTTTCCCCGCCACGTGGAAACTCCGCCGACACCGACCTGGAAACTCCGGCAGCGCCGCCAGCAGCCGCTCTGCGTGCTCGGTGCAAGGGGCAAAGCTGCGGACCGCCGCCAGGGCGGCGGCACGAAGCAAGCGCGACTGGTGAAGATGTTGGGACAGGGTAATGTGGAGATCCTAGGGTTAATAGTTTCAGTATCCCCACAATAGTAAACTAGGATCTCCACAATATATATATATATGATTAGTATGTCGAGATCCTAGGGCCAGGGTTAATAGTTATCTAATAATAATAAACTAATGTAAATATCAGTTCATAATGATATTGGGAATACCATGATAAATATCTATTGGACATATATAATCAAAATATTGGGAATAGAATGGCCGTGTATTGGGAATGTAATGTACATAATACATGTACATAACACTAAGAATATGGCGATATATGATAGACATATGGATATATAACAAGAAATGTAGGGAGAACAATCAGTATATAGATGCATTTATTAATGTATAGCATCGGGATAATATGGATTACCGGGATAATATGGATAGTATGGATAATATGTATATATAATATAAGGGTTTCCATATATGGGGAATCACCAAAATGGATGGTTTACAATGGAAAATCTAGAAATATAACGGATGATTTAGGGGTACCCCCATGACTTAGGAAACCTATATATATATGTATTATGTAATATACTTGAAGATATTTCCAATATTTCGTGTCATAATATCATGACAATCTTATGACACGAAATCTTGGGAATTTTCGGATGGGAATATCATTGGCGAATAGAACCGGGATATATTCGGAATGCAGTTCTCAAACCAAGCCAATATATATATAATGGGGATATATTTGGAATGATAATTCTATATTGTATGATTCATTCCGTTTTTATTTATTTTTCTATAGAATTAATTGATTAATTTATCCCTCAATATAGTTCTTGCCACTGAGGAATAGAAAATCTAGGATATTATAATTATATATATATATTGCAATATCAACAATGGCAGCTCATGGAGATATTATCCACGTGAATATCAAGGGGGATATATATATATATGTATATGAGATATCATGGACATGTAATGGCCATGAATAATGCGGAATATCATGGAAATAGTATGAACAATAGTTGTATTTATGGTTTAATCATACCCAAAAATCCTCCCTATTCCAAATACATCATAGCGAAATCATGGGAATATTATGAATTGTTTGGTTGGTTTATTTCCCGAAAAAAACATAATAAATTCAAAAAAAACATATCTCCCAATTTTGGGAAATAAACCAACGAAATTGGTGACATTGTTCCGTGAGGTTCTCCGAACCGTGCCCCCAGAATCCCCATGGGGATCTCCATGTGCAGAACAGAAACATCACCCTGCACCCGAAAGTGGAAGAAACCTGGCGATTGAAACTCAACTTTAAACAAATATAGACATTAATATAAACACTATATAAACCCCGTTTTTTCACCCACATGACGTCATGAGTTATCATAGCTATCGTGGGTGAACTGGGATGATCATCCCATTACGCTCTGGTTGATCATCAGTTTCACTGGTTGGTTGTTGCTCGTTTGGAAGCATTTCTTGGCCAGTCATATAGTCATATTTTCTGATGGTTTCATTGGTTCTTTCCCCTGTTTCTCGGTTTTTAAAACCCTATTTTCATGGCCAAGTCACTACCCTCTGGTAAACTAACATAGCTATGGAAAATCACCATTTTTAATGGTAAAACTCACTATAAATGGCAATTTTCAATAGCTATGTTAAATTACCAGAAGGTACCTTTTCTCCCAAGATGATCTGGGTGCTAAAAAAGCTCTCAGCTGCCGTATTGATACTTAGCCCCCCCCTGTCCTTGGCATAGTACTGCATCACCAGATATGGAGCCAACACCTTCAACGTCTTTTCCGGGCTCTTGGTCCCTATCCTTGGGGATGGCGGATCGCCGGGTTCCGATCGATAGTTCCTGGTGGTTACTGGTGGTTTATGATGAATTTATGGTGGTTTATTGAAGTTCATTGATGACATGACCTTCCTCTTCCACCCCATCTTTCCATACTTCAAAGCCTAGATCTTACAGGATCCAGTTCCACTTGGTCATCCCATTTCATCGGAATCATCGGAATCCCATCAAGCGAAAAGAACTTGAAATTCAAACCACACATGGCACACATGGATTTTCATACTGAAAAATCATCTTAAAATCCATAGTTTTCCATAGTTGTCCCCTGTTTCTGATTGCTGATTTTGCTGATTTGAAATCTCAGAGGCTATCCCCCACGTTCGGAACGCCAGGAGACCATTTCAAGGCTTCAAGCCCCGAGAACAACTCATCGGGAGTCCCTGGAAACACCTCCAGGGCGGACCACACCTCGGAGCGGACCATCATGACGACCGGAGGTTTCATCGACCGGACCACCACGTCTATAGGAATAGCGCCCAAAAAATATCAAATGGAAAAAAAACATACCCCACTTTCAACTTTCTACCGGAGGTATGAATTTCGGGGCATATGGGTAAAATATTGTAAAATTATGACTTTCGGAAGTATTTATATGGAAGAACATGTTGAAGATCCGAATTTAGGGGGGGGGCCTATCTTCAATCGCACTGTTTTTTGCAGGGCCCAGGTGAGATGCTCATCTTGCATTCTCAGGGTCTATGTGAGTTGGGGGATGGTAATTGCTCGATCAGATTGGAGCAGTACTGCAATCTGATATATTAAACATATGTCGTTGATGTCAGACAGGAATGGTGTAACAATCCATTGAACAGGCTTGTAGCCATTGGTGTATTACAGTATGTTGGGGGCGTTGCCCCCAAAGGGGGACCCAGAAATTACCAAAGGGATGGGTGCAAAATGAATACCCTCTGGTGATCAAACATGACGTGCTGGAAAATGCAGTTGAATTGCTGGATTTATAGGGAATGTTCAATTACCATCTTTGATTACAATAGGGTCAATTGAAGAGTCGAGAACTCCTACGAAGAACATCTGCAGGTCTCTGGGCCCGTTTTGTCCCGCATTCATCAGCAACGAAGAAACATGAACCTATAGCACCACGAAGCTGCAAAGCTATAGCTCCAAGTAGCAGGTCCAAGATCACACATCACATTCATCCTGTTACGACTCTTCTCCTCCTGTGGGAATGATGGTTGCTACTACAACCAGATGGCAAGAAGTGATTTTAGTATCCACAGTGGGAAGAAAATACATGCTTTGAATTGATTCCAGGTGCACAGAGGTACACTTTTCCCTTTTTTTTTGAGAAATAGTCCACCAGTGGAAGCAGCGCTTGGGCGGTTGGGCAATCTTAGATGAGTTTTGTACATTATCCAAAGTTTAGGGATGAATACATTTTTTGTGGAAAACAATATCATTATCACATTGAACTGTGGATAAATATATTATTTTATCTGTTGTATCACAAGGTCGATTGTATCACAATCTATTTATGGCATATTGATGGACACAATAGACCTTGGATGTGACATGAAAGAATTGGCAATGTTGGCCGTCAATAGAGCCAATGTCGCTTAGCAGCCAAACTGCTGAGAAGCACCCTTTGCAAATCTGACTTGACTGATGCTCCCTTTCCATAAATTCTTGATAGATTGGTCATAGTATGGAAGCAGGAGATGTTGGTCAAAAGTGAGATCTCAACAACCCTGGATGGTTTATCCCTGAAAATCACACCGCATTGTTGACTCTTCACCAGCAACTTGAACTTTCAGCCTCACCCATGAATATATATATATATACATACATTTGTACACCATATATATATATATATATAATTTGTTCTTGCGCGACCACTTGGACTACGACTGTTCCTTCCCCCCGGTGGTATTCATATTGCTATGACACAAGGTTAACGAAACTCAAAAGTGGATTCATTATTTCACCATTGCTGGCTGGATCGCTCCTCTCTGTATCCCCATGTCATGTCTGTTGCTTGTTCATTCGTACTTGTACCGGGTATGTTTGTTTGATGGACTCATGCCTTTTTTTTTAGATAACCCATTTTGCAGGTTCTATCGTCACTTTTGTTGCTGTCGCACGCCTGTTTCTACTGGTGAAGTGCGCACTTTGGCTGGCTCATCTGGTTTATATCGCAAGTAGTGCTCGTTGATATCACATTTAAATTGACCGCTAAATCCAAAATTTGCTAGTTGTAACCAATTCTATGGCATTAATGATAGTCGTGTCTAGTGGACAACTCATGAACCTAACATGTGAAATTTTCGAATGTTAATTCAATTTTGGGCAGAAAAGGCACCCTTTCCAAAGGTACCTATAGGCCTATAACTAGGCTCGATGAAGACGGCAACGCTAAGATGGGAGGTTGACTCCAAGGAAAACAGTGGGTAGTAGTGATACCAAATAACAATATATAATTTGATATTAACTGGTCGATAATACAAGAATCCATATGATCATCTTTGGTACTAGCCATCATTGATATCAATCAATATCAAACAGCTAATCATCAGTCATTAATCACATCTAAATTCCATATTAATCATTAATCTTAAACAATCATTGCTTAATCATGCAGCATGAATCATTGTTTTGTGTTTCCTGATTCACATGCACTGATTGTTTTTAAATCCATAAATTAAATGGAGGAGCCAATGGTTGTCCCTTAGGCTTTGGTGTTGACGACGATGATGCACCCTGAGAACTTTTTGGACGTTGCTCCTGCAATGCCAAGCCCCTCGCCACTGATCCCCGTGCTGGAGGTGGCAATGGAGGTTCTCTCAAGACTGGAACTGCTTTCGGTCCTGAGCTGGATGCTTCACCTGACACCTTTGGCAAGGATGAACGAGACTCAACAGCAGTTGCCGGTGCAACCGCCTTTGCCACTGTCACCCTTCTATGATCAGCCGGTAATTACACTCCTTACGGAGGAAGTTGCAATCGTGGTCACAGCACCGGTGGTGTCTTGGCCTTTGCAATCACAATTCTAGGCGATGGAGATGTATCCGAGCGGCCTGGAGGTGGGCCTGAAGGCTGCTTTGGAAAATTTGGAAACTCTACCCAAGAGGGCGGATGCTCAGGCTCCCTTGGAACTCTAAGATCTCGGGCTTCCTCTTCCTCAGTGTCCTCTTCCTCCCACTGATTTTCAAACTCACCAATCACTTCTTGACGAACTGTTGCTCGAGTACTTCTCAAGAAATCTTCGTCAAGCACAAAAGGATATTCGTTCGATAATTGACCGCTTGCTAATCCCTGCTCAAGAGCTGCTGTCTTCTGCGACTGACCCCTTCTCCCTGAACGATGCCAATCAATAGCCCGCCAGAGGGTATCACCGATTGAAGAAATCTTCGCAAAAATCAAAAGGCCGATTTAACGGCAGCTGAAGAAAAATACGAAGTGCAGAACTTGATGAAAACGATGGTGAGCCTTACGGCTGGTAACCAGGAGAAAGTGGTGAAGTGCGACAACGACAATGGCAAAGCAGTGAACGTGCACACCTTTTTCCACAAGTGGCAACTTGAGCCAAAAGTCAGGATCGCAGATCATTGGACCCGGACCCAAGGAACTGGCTTTACTATTGGACATGTTATTTAATGTCACAGTACATGCACAAACAGTGGATTCCATACAAACATCTTGATGTTGTAAATACAGGTCAGTACGAAAAGCATGCATACTAGGAAGGAGCCCAAAGGCTACGCAACCAGGCTTGTTGGCATAACGACTTCGATTGGTTAGTGACACGAATCCATGTATATGGTGATACACCTGCTTGGACATAATTGGTAGTTTTGCCTGAATTTATTCTTTAACTAGTTCGTTATATCTACCATAAACCATAGAATTCAGCCACTTATAAACCAACTGAACGCTATCGACTGTGGGCCCCATCCCCGTCCAGGTACACGGACAAGGGCGCCAAGTCCAAGAGCTCCGCCGTCGCTCCGCTGGGAGAAAAGCGCTGCATCTCCTGGACCATGCTGTGTGTTTTGAGGCTGATTTCATGGTGATTTCATGGTGATTTAATCGTGATTTCATGGCTTTTTCATGGCGGTTTGATGATGATTTAATGGTATATATATATATATACATAATGGGATATGTCATCAATTGGCGGAAATTTCATTTGAAGTTATCGAAAATCACCATTTTGAAAAGCTAAACCATCGAACTAAATGGGTCATGGTTTCCATAGCTATGCTGGTTTGCAAGAGTAACATAAAAATTGATGAATTGGAATCTTCATGATTATTCATTCATGCACCTGAAATGAAAGATCACGTGCCGATATTTCCCTGATGTTTTATGTGATTGTTGGGGTTTCGTCTCCCATGTTTCATCTCAAGGTTGCCACAAACCATCCCTATCCGCATCATCCAGTTACAAGGTGATGCCCCCAAGATAGCTAAGTTGGTTAACTCCAATAACTATGGTATTTCTGGGTGAATATAGCTGATATATATTGATATATCTATAGTTAATGGGCTTATCAATGCTTATGATCAATTTATAACTCGGGGGTGCACCACATGGCACCACCGCACGTAGCTCCTGCTGGTAGAACTTGAGAGCCCTTGAGCACCAGCGAGCCATGCGCGTGGAGAAGCGACCTAAGGGTGGAAGGCTTGCGATCTGAATAATCCCGGGCCCCCGGTTCATATGAATTAAACACCCCCAAACGAAACAAACAAAACCATGATTTACCAGGGAAATTCCACATCAGTGGAACCATTTTTAGGATTTATTCGGGGGTGTTTAATAACCGGGGGATGGGATTGATGATAACTAACCGCTCCCTCCATTCACCTCTTCGAAGAATAAGAAGTCACCAACCTGAGATGATAACAATAATACAACTGTAATAATTATAATACAAGGCGATGCCCCCGTTCGATAGCTAAGCTGGTTAACTCCACTAACTGTGGTTTATAGGTGATATATCTATAGTTAATGGGCTTATAATCAATTTATAATTCGCCGGGCACCACCTTGTAATGTTAACAATAATAATAATAGCAATTTCCCCATGTCTAAATGATAAGAAGAATAAGAAAACACCAGCTGAGTTTGGGGATAACTACCCGACGACCAGATGGTGCCTATGGTGCCCTGAGCTCGGCTGGCTTCCTCAAAAAAGACTACCTGGATACAATCCAAACGTAAACATATCTGTTATTTGACATTATATGACATGAAACACATACTTTCAACAGAAACAAACATTATACACATACATAATTCATCATACTTCATAATGATTCATATCTAACACGTCATATTCTGGTTGGGTTTAACTCAATTCGAAGCTCCCATTCGAAGCTACCCGTTACCCGCTCCCTTCACCAAGGTACTCCGCTTTACCCCCGCCAAACTCCCATGGGTGAATTATCATGTTCATTCATTTTCCCTATTCAGTGGCCATCTGAGGAATATATCAGCATATCATAGTATACTTGGTGGCTCATCCCACTTAGTAAGTGGGTTATAACCCAGTTATAAATGAGATAAGTAGGGTTAATCCACTTATAACAGGGGTTATAACCCACTCACGATTCGTGGGATGAGCCACCAAGTATCCCTTATCTTCAGACCTATATCTCCAAGATCACCAGAAGTTAACCCCCACGTGTCGAAAAATCGGACGTCGCGTGGCAATAGCTCGGCAAGGTGTCCATCGGCACGCTGTCCACGGCCATCTTGGCCTTCATCACTTGCTCATGGCCTCGGACAAACTACGCTAGATTAATTGGGATATTAATTGGGAGATTAATTGGGATATTAGTTGGGATATTAGTTGGGATATGAATGGATATGAATTAAGATTTGGATCATATGTCTGAAAAATGGACTAGCTGTCAACAATAGGGATATTTCATGGATAATACTTGGGGATCCAATAATTTATAGGAAAACAAATTGGATGTAACCAGCAATATCGTAGATTAAGTCTGGCAAAAAACGTTTTTTACGCCGATTAACCACTTCATGAGGTATAGTAAGAAGATCCACAGCAACCAGCCACGGAACATCACAGAACCATCGACATAACCTTAAAAAAAACATGGGGGCTGACCTACCAAGCCAATAAAATGCTTTAGTTGGGGCTGTTCACAATTAATGAAGGTAAAACATCCCAAATTAAGCTATGTGAACATCACTAAAACATCCTGCATGTTCACATGAAATTGTTACCTTTTGTTTTCTTTGCAGCTATAAACCCTCCAAAGCTGACCAGCCCAATAATATCTGGCAAGGCCAATGACATGTGGTGGTGCAAGAGCCCTTAATGAACACCTTCTTGATGGCGGTGTTGCCCTTGGGGAGCGTTGACGAGTTGGTTGAACTATGAACCTAAATTTATCTTTGGAACTATTGATATGTGATTGTTTTCTCTGGATGACCATAATAATCCAGAAGATACATATTTCGGATGTTACGGAAAAGTGTAATTTACACATATTTACTCCCCTCTGGTAAACTAACATTGCCATTTAAACATCACCATTTCAATAGGTAAAACCGTCTATACATGGGCCATGTTCCATAGCTATGTTTGTTTGCTGGAGGATGTAGTCCCATGGTTTATCCATGTTCCATAGATATTCCATGGATTTGTTCGTGTTCCATCGCTTCTCCTCCAACAAAAATGACATTTGGGTATGGGTCAAAACCTATTATTATCAATTCTAATGGGATGAACATCCATTTACCAGCTATTTTGGGGTTCACTAGGTGCCAGGGTTTTGACCAATAGCCATTTCCCAACAGAACAACTGCCCCAAGCAGGCACGTGCGACTGATGCGGCCGTCCAAAACATCATCTGCCCAGTTCTGCGGCAACCAACGCAGGCTGGTGAAAGCTGGTGCTATGTGAAACACTGTGAAACAGTGGTATGGTTAATGTTGTAATGTTAAAGAAATGTGAATCTTGGATGCCCAATTGCCCAATTGCTGCTGAACAGCATGGCCAAAACAAAAAATGGTCATTTCCAAATAGTAGATTCCCCATTTCTGGTGGATGAAGCTGTAGGGAAAATAGATTAGGGGTTCCGAAGTCATAGGGGTACCCCAGTCGTCACCATGGTCCAATGACTTGGATGATTTGGGGGTAGCCCTATTTCAGGAAACCTCCAGATGGCTGGTGAACATGGGGTATGAATAATGGTAACAATGGTATGGTTTACCAAGAGAAAACACCCAAATCTGGCCAAACTGGGTTGAAACTTTTGAAGCCTCAACTGCGCAAGCAAGTGATCACTTTCCCATCAGACCAAATTATGTCCTTTCAAGATGCTTGGAAGTGCATCCCAGGAATCATGAGTTCACACATGTATAGCTGAAGTTTATCCTACATATCAAATGGTGTAACCATGCTTATTAACATCCAACTGAGGGGTTTTAAATTTATGGGAAACGCATGGAAAACCTCTAAATCTGCTGTTGAATCGTCCTTTTCCTTATGAGGATTGCCATTTTGACACACGCAACTGCATCGGCTCCCCGGCTACGTCGGCTCCTGCACTGCGTTCAAAAATGTTGGCCAATCTCTCAACCTTAGAGTTTTTGGCCAAGGTCGACCCTCCAAAGCACACATCAGATATTCCAAGTCTCAGTGTGTGTATATATATATGTACATGCCTAAATATACATACATATATATATATATTACAGCAGGTATATGTACATTTTCGGTTTCCGAAATGTACCCCCTGACGACGCAGGTTTCTCGTGGATTCACCAAGGAAAATCTGGTGGTTGACCTACCCCTCTGAAAAATGATGGAGTTCGTCAGTTGGGATTATGACATTCCCACTATATGGAAAAAAACATGTTCCAAACCACCAATATGAAATGCATTGAACAACAACAACAGCAACAATACCAGCTGCTACTCTGTCTTATTATCTTATTCGTTTTTATTTACGCATATTCCGAGATCATGAACTGCACTGAAGGGACCGGACCCAGGGACGACCCCACGAACGATTGCGCAGTTTTCTTGGGGATGGGTATACCATGGTATAGGCCCTCCAAAGAAGTTCCGGAAAAGATCACTAATTTATCTTTAATCTGACTATAGGGGATATGCCCACTTCATAGTCTTCATAGTGGCTACATCTCCATAAATCATGAAGATTAACAGGCTCTTGTTGGTTTAATGTTATAGACACCAGCCCGGTTTACCCATTGAAATCCCTGGTGAAATCCCAGGTGATTAAACAAAAATCGTATAACCCTACTAGCCGTGAATCAGCAGCCAACCATAATGTATTGGTCATATGCCTTTTCTCGATCAGTTTTTTGCAGCTTCAATTTCCAATCCAATCTTTGGTGAAAAGGAGCCCCATTCTTCATGTTTGATTTCAACATATTCCAGCGTATAACCATCTTTGGTGCATAAGTCCCATGTTTCATTTAATTTTTATGTTCAAAAGAAACCCTATTGCTGTACAAGGTTGGCCCCCTAATTACATGTTGGTCCATAACCCTCACTAGCTGTAGCATACTATAGCCATATTCTCAATAATCTGTGGTTAATCAAGTTGTTATACGTTGGTCTATGGGCCCAAAACATTTTCGCATACCCAGTCGCTTTAAAAATCCTCCGGAATCTGTGGTTTTCCCCAGCATTTTTGGGGCCACGGCTCCACCAATCAGTGGAGCCAAGGCCATGCGCCACCATATCTTCCATGGGCTGGCTGTTTTTTGTGATTACCCTCTGGTAAACTAACATAGCTTTGGAAAGATCCACCATTTTCAATGGGAAAATCCGCTATAAATCACCATTTTCAATAGCTATGTTAAATTACCAGAGGGTAAAACAATCATGGCTCCACCATCCCCTAGTCATCACCATTTATATATATTTTTTTAGGTGGAAAAAATAAACTGTATAAACTTACCATTCCCAGGAAAATGGCTTCGGTAAAAATGACATTGTTTTACCAGGCCACATCGGTGCCAATCGCCTCCAATCGCTGATCCGATTTGGATCTGCCTCCTCCAGATGAATGCCTCACAAGTTCGATATGTTCCATGTAATGTTCCATGTGGAAAATCACTCACTGTAGAAGATCTTCCGGAAACCATGGCTTTTCATGGAATTTCCACATCTATGTTAGTAATTACTGTATTAACCCTTAGGGTTTTTCATCATCAAAGTTGCAAAATATGAATCCGTCAACTACCCTTCACCAAAGTCTACCATGTTTGTTGTTGAAATTCGCGGGATATCAATGTCTATTGGTGTATAAACAAGCTTGGGTTGCTCATGGGCCATCCGTTTGGTCAGCAAGCTCTTCCAGCAAACAAAAGGATCCCGTGATGGATTAAACACAAAAGATAGCTGCTGAAATTCATAGTTTAGTGTAGACATATCATATACATACTTTACATACTTTACATAAACATGTGTATAATGGTGTATATATATAATTATATGTATATATTAGATCAAACACTTATACATATGCGCCCAACAACTGGCCCAAAAGATCGCGTTTTTTTCATCGCAGGGAATGTCAGTGGAAATGGCCGGTTTGCACAACATCTTGGGGCACCAGTGTCACTAAAACATACTAAAACCATCTAAAGCCCCTTTGTAGTAAAACAAATGACCGTTAAAAAAATGAGGTACTACAAGTATCTAGAAGTGCTAATTATTCTCAATGAACCGAAGAAACTCCGCCATAATTCTGTGATAATCCTGTGATGGCACCAAAATTCTGCGCCGAAGAACCCAAGGTCGGACCGGCCAAGAGAAAGAAGAGCGCATGCATGATTTCCATCCTGAGTTGACTCTCCGCGGTGCCATTTTATGTCGGTTGATACACTTTATATTTTGTCACAACTCCCATTAGTTGGGATATACATGGATAGACAGCTGTACAGCTAAATTTTATGGTTTAACAATGTTTAAAAAAAAAGTATACCCACTGATTGAGTGGAACTGCATCCTCAAGAATTTTATGGCTTCAAAGAAAGTCAAACTACCGTTGAAACGCTGGGTTTTGATCCTAGATATAAAATATGTAGGGAGCTCCTGTGATTCATGGAGTATGATGGGGGTGTCAATATTTAGTATAAATATATATATATATATATACATATATATTATATTGATTAAAATTGATCAAAATTGGATAAATATATTCCATTCCATCTTTCCCAGGGATCTTCCATTTTGAGACCTGCAAATCATCTACGATATTCCCTTTGCACACCGAATTTTCAACCCTATCCCATCTCATGAAATACTAGTTGGTTAATAGGTTTCCGTACTATGGGTTATCATAATCCTCCATGAATTAGGTAGTTTTTGCAGTATAAGTCCCTACTAAGAACCTATCAACCAGGGTCTTTTTTGTAATGGCCCGGTTGGAGCTTACCAGTTTCGTATTTACTCCGTGTAGATGGGGGAAGTTCCACATCAAAGGGATCCATGAAATTTGGTCCCCGAAAGGTCTTGGAGACGTTCGCTTGCCATTGAAAATGGCCCATAGAAATAGGCGGTTCTCAGTTCGCAAACTGTTAGTTTAGCAGAGAGTAGTCCCATTCCCCAAATATACCCTCTGCTTGTTCAACATAGCTATGGAAAATCATGTGCAATAGGTAAATCATTTATAAATCATCTAATAAATGGGCAATTTTCCAGAGCTCTGTTCAATAAGCAGAGGGTATCCAAATATCAAACAAAAACAATTGTGTGGGACCCCGGCATCTTGACCGTCTACCAGATGTTTTTTTCCCAATCGGCACATTGGATGTTCCGGTCAAAGTCTCACCACCATTGGAGGCCGAGCCCATTGTTTCAGGGCCTCAAAAAAAACAATTGGTGGAACGAAGTGGGATGGGTCAAGAGAATTGCCATTCCAAGTTGAAAAAAAAACTGAAGATTTTTCAGCAGAATGGTAGAACCATCAATATTCCCATGTTTGATGCCCTGATTCTACCATAATCCCTAAAATATCCGCTGAATTGTAGGTAGAAATAAAGATAACTCGAAATAGCTGGAATCATATCCATATACTCCTGGGATATCTTAGGATGTAACGTCAATCCCGGATGAGACCAAACCCAAGCTGTTGGGGGGATTACCTCCAAAATAGTGATAAACTATGATAAACTACTGTTGAAATTGGATAAACCGGAGTTTTTTTGCCAAACACTGGGTTGACATTATTCATGATCAAACATTGGATAATCATTATGACTTTTTGAGGAGATCTAGAGATTTATCAAGTTTCGATGACTTTGTGGACGTCGATAAAAAACAGTGATGGGGGTGTTTGGTTGTTATTCATCTTGCTTTACTAAAGATGTCCAGATTTTCCCACACGTGGATTCAGCATTTCATTCCCACATTTTGAGGATTCTTTGAATTCTTGGATACATTTTATAGATCAATGTCCATGTTTTTCTTGGGTGTATATTTCTCATTATACTTTGTTGCTACATTACCATTTTCAATAAATTTCTATTAAGAGAGACAATTCCAACAGCTGGGTTTTAAGCATCCAATCTCCAGTCAAGGTGCCCCCAAGATTTCAAAACAGTTGCTAACCGATCTACGTTTGACAAAAACTTCGTACGTCTTAGTGCCACCATAAACCTCAATAAAGACAACCAAACTACTTATTAACTCACTTGGCCAAGTATGGGGCATCAGTATACCACCTTTCGAGTATTCATCTAGACTTTGACATCATTGCTTCACCCACTGCTTAAGGATTTTCCCGTCGGGAAATTCCCCGACTTTTACCCCTGTTGTGGTGTCTTAAACTGGGGCGGGGTGACACCCAACAAAGCTTCCGGAATGAATATGTTCTAATGGAGAAACCAATGGCTCAGAGGGGTGATCGAATTTTTGAAACATCCATCTATGTTAATGATTTTCGTATTTGAGAAGACAAATAAATTCCATATCACATGCTCCATCCATGGAATATTTACCAACATTTACTCCAAGAATCACCCACATGTAGGTAAATAACCATGCAGTCGCAAAGGGGAACAAACATCGGACTTTCCATTGCCATGTTTGAAGACAAGAGGGCTGATTCATGAAAGTTTAAGGGAATAAGAAGGATTCCACTGGGGATTCGGAAGCCCTTACAACGGCCGGCTTCGGCCTTTCAAGGGGTGCTTTGGGATGTTCTATTGCCAGCGATGCATCAACATCTATTGGACTACCAATACATCACTAGATTTTGAGGGGATGAACATCAATAAACCATCAAAATTCTTGTACTGATGTTGGGTCCAATGGTACATCAAGTGGTCCATCAATATCATACCGTCAATGTCATACCATCAATGAACATCAATATCATACAGGCAAAAGAGAAAGTCACGCCTAAGTCATGCCTACGGGGCTTCCCCCATTGTCAACGCTGTTTCCAAAAGTCACGCCTAAGTCATGCCTAAAAGGCTTTCCTGCTTGTCACCGCAATCATTCCGGCACTCATTCAATTGATGTGGTTTCAAACTGTTCTTGTGGCCAATGGTTTCGATTGAGTTGTTTAACAATGGAATTCCATATTCGCTAAGAAAAATCTCACATGTTCCCTTGTCATAAGGAACACACCCAGCATTGCAGCACTTATTCAATTGATGGAGTAACATCCTTCATTCCAACCAGCCCGTGGGCACGACATTGTCTGTTCCCTGTACCATATGTACAATATTTTGAGGAGATGAACACCAATCAACCAGCTGTTTTTCAGCAGCTTTGGAGCAAAGTACCTGAAGGTCTTTCTGGTACTCATCGAAATCCGCGCAGCTTTGTGCGAAGGTCTGCACCAAGAAAGCCCTGCAACCGGCATAGCAACTTGCGCGGATGCTTCATGGATGGTATGGGGTATTCCATTTATCCATGTAAAATAGACATAGAGTAAATACTGCATGAATGCATGGGAATGGAGCCGCAAATTTGGTCGTGCCTAGTAAGAAACCAGACTTTTCGGATGTCCAAGATTTTGAGCCAGAGCCACTTTGGTGGGCCCAGTGAACTGTTTGTTGGTTTATAAGCCAGATTATCTACAGATATATCGACCATCAGAAAGCGGCAAAAATGTTGGTTGACATATTGTATCTTCATCCCCGAAAGCTGATCTTCGAGTTCCACCGAGCACCAGTGGATGCCTAAGGTCGATTGAGAGACCAGATCCACCAAGGATTGCATACCTTCGCAACTGGAAGGTTAGGCTTGGGAAAAATTACTATGTGACTATTCCCGAAGAAACAAGTGACTTATGCTACTTTTTACATCTAAGCCAGCAGAAAATCCGGGGTAAACTCCCTTGATCGCTCACCTCACCACGCCTGTCCCAGTCCCTCGGTCCCAGCCTGGAACGCTTGCGAATCTCACCTCGGAGACTTCGGGATGGGGCAAGCGATTTTTGGAAAGCTCACGACCGACTTGACGTTGGGGATACACTTCATGGCCTAACCGAATTTCCAATATTTCCAATGGCTGGTTGTAGGCTGTTAGTGGACAAATCCGGCTTACCCCTGTTGCAGAAATGGCTACAGTGAACCCGTACAGCGAAGCAAGCGATTTGATGAACCACCAAGACTGGCGGTTCAAAAGCAATACGGAGAACCTTCCGTCATACCCAAGATGGTTTGTTGAGGGCATTCACAGTATACTTGGGCTATCTGAGAGTGCAGTTGGGGTTATTAATGGGTAATCTCCATAGGTTGGGGTGTGACATGACCCCTATAACTAGGGTGAACTCTGACCCGCCTGGTGGAACTGCAGCACGGAGCTGTGACATCACATCCGAGCCCACTTAGCAATTGATATTGCCCATAAAATATCGCGTTTTACCCCATAAAAACTTAACTATGTACTTTAACCATGTCTTTGAGATATTTGGAGGGTCTAGGCAAATTCACGAACTTGTTTGAACAGAGGGTCCCCCCCATTCCAAAGGATTGTCATTCGACCTCCAATTTGACTTGTGTGGCTTCAAGCACTTCTGAAGGGGATGACCACACGTACATATATATATATATAATTATCTTTTAAACAAAGGTCATGGGTCATGTGTGTGTAACAACTGAATAGATGTAAAACTTCTCCTTTTTTCTTTCTCTTTCTTCTCTCCTTTTAATAAAGCAGGGGGACCATCCATGTACTGTGAGCGATGGTCCAACGAAGCGGCCACAGTACATGCGGATATCACGGCTGATCACCGTGACGTACCTGCTTTCTTCATGTCATTTTTCTGCAATGGGACGTGGCTAACCCGAGAACCACCTAGCCAGTTTTGTCAGTTGCGATGTCATTTGATGCTCTGCGCGTTTTCCGCAATCTGTTTTTCAACGATCTTTTCGGATGTCTTGACGAGTTTTTTTGAGGTTTGTATTCTGGTTTGGTCTACGTATGATATCTTCGGAAAAACCTTCATCGTTCTCGCGAAGTACAGCCACGAGATCTACTTTGGGTCTAATTGTCTAGGCTGGTTGCATGTTACAGGACTCAGTTCCGGATGGATCTCTTCAAAGACACCAATTGTGTCTAGTGTAATACCTATGGTGACTCCGACAAGGTGCCATAGGGCCAATGGAGGCAACCCTTTTAAGGTGAATGTCGACTGACCGGATTACAGAATTGACAATTTTAATCTGGTAATTCATCTAAGTATTGCGAAGCAGTTGGCCTTACCGTTGTCAGCCTTTTTCAATGTCTCGCCTTTGCGATAACTTTGATCTCCCATTTCTACTCGAGTGGAGCCGCTCGGAACAATCAGAAACTTCAATTTCTCGCTGCAGCACCAGCTTTTACAGGGTAAGCTGACATGATCCATGACAGGCGACAGGCATGTCTTTTTCCTGCAGGTATGGTCTCTTTGGTATCTGGTGAGGTTGAACATATCGTGCATCTAATTCGTTGGAACTTGAACGGCTGTTTATGCCATATCACGACTTGACTACGGTCCCGAAGGGGAGTGACGCACGACACCTGTTGTAGTTGGAACTGGATCCTTTTTAGATTATTTTTGTTGTTTCACGCTCGTCACCAACTAGCCCCCATTCGGTCCCTAATTCTTCCACTGTGCTTCTCCGTAATGTGTTGTGGGGTTTAGGTGTGTGCTCTGTTTTTGTCAGGTCCGTTTCGCCGCGTAGGTTGGGTTTGGAGGTCCGTTCGTTCCCTTCCCCCTCCTGCGCTGTTCTGGCCTTTTGCCCGTCGTCTGTGTCCGCTTTTTCCTTCCTCTTGCCTTTCATTGTTGACCAGGCTCCGGCCGGGTGCGTGTGTGTGTGTGTGTGTAACATCTGAATAGATGTAAAACTTCTCCGTTTTTCTTTCTCTTTCTTCTCTCCTTTTAATAAAGCAGGGGGACCATCCATGTACTGTGAGCGATGGTCCAACGAAGCGGCCACAGTACATGCGGATATCACGGCTGATCACCGTGACGTACCTGCTTTCTTCATGTCATTTTTCTGCAATGGGACGTGGCTAACCCGAGAACCACCTAGCCGGTTTTGTCAGTTGCGATGTCATTTGATGCTCTGCACGTTTTCCGCAATCTGTTTTTCAACGATCTTTTCGGATGTCTTGACGAGTTTTTTTGAGGTTTGTATTCTGGTTTGGTCTACGTATGATATTTTCGGAAAACCTTCATCGTTCTCGCGAAGTACAACCACGAGATCTACTTTGGGTCTAATTGTCTAGGCTGGTTGCATGTTACAGGACTCAGTTCCTGATGGATCTCTTCAAAAATCCAATTTTGTCTAGTGTGTTTAAGATCATGGTGGATCATGATTTTCCGGCTTGACACAGCACGAAATGACCATAAATTGGCGATAGCTTAGGGTATCTCCCCAATTGTTTGGCAAACCCATCCATCCAATTGCGTATGGGTCAAAATTATCAACACCCTAAAATCCATGGTGCCCTTAACTTTCCATTATTGTTCCCTTGACTTCCCATTATTGTTCCCTTAACTGTTCCTTTAACTTTCCAGAAAATGGAGAAAGTTAAGGGGACAGTAATGCAGTACATGGAGAAAGTTAAGGGGACAGTAATGCAGAAAATGGAGAAAGTTAAGGGGGACAGTAATGCAGAACATGGAGAAAGTTAAGGGGACAGTAATGCAGAAAACGGAGAAAGTTAAGGGGACAGTAATGCAGAAAATGGAGAAAGTTAAGGGGACAGTAATGCAGAAAACGGAGAAAGTTAAGGGGACAGTAGTGCAGAAAATGGAGAAAGTTAAGGGGACAGTAATGCAGAAAATGGAAAAAGCTAAGGGGACAGCAATGCAGAAAATGGAGAAAGTTAAGGGGACAGTAATGCAGAAAATGGAGAAAGCTAAGGGGACAGTAATGCAGAAAATGGAGAAAGTTAAGGGGACAGTAATGCAGAAAATGGAGAAAGTTAAGGGGACAGTAATGCAGAAAACGGAGAAAGTTAAGGGGACAGTAATGCAGAAAATGGAGAAAGTTAAGGGGGACAGTAATGCAGAACATGGAGAAAGTGGGACAGTAATGCAGAAAATGGAGAAAGTTAAGGGGACAGTAATGCAGAAAATGGAGGAAGTTAAGGGGACAGTAATGCAGAAAATGGAGAAAGCTAAGGGGACAGTAATGCAGAAAATGGAGAAAGTTAAGGGGACAGTAATGCAGAAAATGGAAAAAGCTAAGGGGACAGCAATGCAGAAAATGGAGAAAGTTAAGGGGGACAGTAATGCAGATCATGGAGAAAGTTAAGGGGACAGTAATGCAGAAAACGGAGAAAGTTAAGGGGACAGTAATGCAGAAAACGGAGAAAGTTAAGGGGGCAGTAATGCAGAAAACGGAGAAAGTTAAGGGGACAGTAATGCAGAAAATGGAGAAAGTGGGACAGTAATGCGGAAAATGGAGAAAGTTAAGGGGACAGTAATGCAGAAAATGGAGAAAGTTAAGGGGACAGCAATGCAGAAAACGGAGAAAGTTAAGGGGACAGTGCAGAAAATGGAGAAAGTGGGACAGTAATGCGGAAAATGGAGAAAGTTAGTGGGACAGTAATTTTTGATGGTGATTTGCCTGCAATTTCTAGGCCTTCTTGGGATTTCCCAGCGCCTTCTTGGGATGTCCCACCCCTGCCAGGTGACGAATCTGCACTTCATCCGTTGTCAAGGTCAGGCGCTGACACATCGCAGGGATCTGAGCCTTGGGAGACAATAACGACACCGGGATTTTCGCACAGCATATCGGTATCATGGGATACATGATACATGATACATGATACATGATACATGATACAACAACAACAACAGCAACAACAACAACAACAACAGGAATGTGCCCAGCAACGCGCCCAGCAATGCGCCCAGCAACGCGTTCGGCCAACTGGGTCTTGAGAGCATGCACCTGGTCATCCAAATCAACGATAAACCTTAGTGATGCTTCAGTGGCCGATCTTAGACATGCTGCAAAACGATAACTGGTTGGTGGCTGCAAACCCCTACCGAAACCCATTTCCAACCACCAACCAAAATATTACTGCACTTATCGCATCATTACATATCATCAGATGAATCTATATTTGTTCATTATCTCGAATATGATTGCATGTTCTTAGTCACATGTCCAATTTTGTGTTCCCTACACCATGCTACATTTTCAATTCTACATGTCGTCTACATTTCCTGAAATCAGACTGGCCAACCTCGGATGGATAGGTGATATAGAATTCCTTATTGTTTTGCCATAAATGAATACCAAGTGCCATAGAGCCTGGAGTAAGGAGACGAACATCACTTAAAATCCACCATCTTTATGATGAGACTTACCCTCCGGTACTCAAACATGGCTAGCAGCAAAAAGTAATCCTTTAATTCGATGATTTTCAAAGCTATAGTTCCTCAATTTGGCTGGATATTTCCCAGTGGCCCGCCATGTTTGATGACACCAGAGGATACCTTGGTAATTTATTCATCCCCTGCTCACAGTTTATGTACCTCTAGTAGTCAAGCGTGGCAATGGACAATTCCACATAAAGAAGGATTCCAACGGGAACATCATCTATCAATCATCTATAATGGAGCTTTCAATGGGAAAGTAATCTATAAATGCAGGTTTACAGCTGGGAAGTCCCCTGTCTGTACATGGACATTTTATATAACAGGAAAATCCACTAGAAATCACCCAAATGTCGTTGGAAATCCCCCAAAAACATGGAGGTTTCTGGGAAAACGCAAAAAAACGCGGTTGGATTTTCCAGGTGACTCAAAGGCCTCCCCCGTCAACTTTTCCACCGTGACAACGGCCATCCTTCAGCGCCGTTGTCAAAGGCCCGAACCTCCGACAACGGGGTGACATGTCCGCGCCAAACAGCGGGTGAAAAATCGTATTTCTTGGGGCTACGGATCCAATTTTTGGTGGGGAATAAGAGCATGGCTCTTCTGGGCGCAACTTGGGCGGTTTTGATGGTTCAAATTCCAACAAAAAACGTGGTTAAATGATGTTAAACGTCTATATTCGCTGTATGTCGCTAAAATGATGCTGAACTTCCAAGCCACCAGGCAAAAAAAGGGCCCAGTTGGTGAACTAGATACCCCTTCAAAAAAATGAAAGATAGATGAACCACTTGATATAGGATATAAATATTGCACAATATTTATCCATATATATAATTATATAGTTTTAAACAACTGATTGAATAATTATATAGTTATATAATGATATTATAAACAAATAGTAACAGACTAACCAAACACCAAGCAGCCGGCTGGTCATTTCAAGATCCCCATCTTGTGTTGCTGGAGTTTCTCGCTCCCAGTTTCATGGTCAATCTTTGGTAGTCCACAAAAACAATGGTTATGGCTATTTGCCACAGCAAGACACTTAAGGATTAAACTAATTACACACCCAAGACCTTGTTGGGAATGATTTATCAAACCATTTATCAAGCAACCAAAGTGCCAGCTGCTACTCATGAACCATTCATGGAATATTTCTTGTGGATCAACCTACCACGCAAAAATTACTTGTCACATGGTAATCAACTAATTATAAACCTCCATGGCTAGTTCGGGGCTTTCCCAGTGGCCCGCCATGTATATTGTTGGTGTCTCCGAAAACTCTCCCCATGATATACAGCATTATACAGCACTATATGGAGGTTTCTAAAAATGGTGGATATGGATTTCAATACTAAAATCGTCACATTTTGCATGATTTGGGGTACCTCCATATGCAGAAAAAATGGGGTGTTCACATTCCAACATAGGGCCATTCGGGCCCGATTTTTGTATACCAAGGTTGAGACCCCAGTTCATAATATTTGGGTGGACCAAGACAACGGCTATAATATAATTACAGAGCATATATGGGTATGGAATGATGTATGAGCTATGACAAACGTACCGTTTTCCCGCCTTATCATACTGGTTGATTAATAAAGGGGCAAGTAGGGTATAATACAATCGGACCCAAGCAACAGGGGTATCTTTACTGGGTCATAGGCATCTGTTTCAAAACGTGGGGCCAACTGGTACTATTTTGCCAACCCAAACCAAACAATGTCCCGCCACATGGGATTGTCGCGTGCTGGGCATGCAAAGGCGATTGATAAAAATTGCACACAAAAAACGACATCAAACAACAAAGAATGTTGTGTGCTGGGATCCAATTACCTTCACTTGTCTTCTCGTAATGTGGTTAATGAAATTATCAAGACGTCACTAAAAGATTATATCAAAGCACCACTGTCAGGTGGGCAGATGAGATGCATGTAGTTGTTGTTGTTAAATGAGGTTGGGTCAACGGTTGGGTCAGTGTAATTGTCCAACATTGTCCAACAAAACTACATAAAACTTCGAGTGTTCCCTACCCTTACCTACCTTACCTATAGTTTCTTTTCTGACCATCTGGATGTCAAACATATTCTGATGCCCCTTTTTTTTATATTATAATATTTATCCCTTTTAATCAATATTAGTTTCTGAAGGATTTCCCCCCGTAAGGGCCATGTTCCAAGTTCCAACCCTGCCGCTTTTCCACCGCCCGCGGCAGATGGCGAGCGAGGCCCGAGGCCAGAGCTACTGACAATCTTGCCGAAAAAAAGGCATGTGATCCCCATCGGTGTGATTGGTGTGATTACCCTCTGGTTGTGACTAACAGTTCGCCATGGAAAGATCCACCCATTCTTAAGAACGGTAAACCATCTATTTCTATGGGCCATCTATACCATGGCTATGTTAAATAACCAGAGGGCATATATGTTTTAATTGACAATATCATTGAATAATTCTCAGAAAATACATGAACACCTGGATGCCCGTCCACTACTAGATAACCGATCAGATTGTCAGTACACATGATGCGGATGCAACCACGTCTTCAAAAAGGAGAACTATCCTCTAGTCATTTGTGGTTCAACCTATCTAATTTGATGACTATATTTGGTAATTCAGTACGTGCATTAGTCATAGCCCGGATCATAAGTCAACCAAACCTACTTTCAGAAGAATATAAAAGTTAAACATGTGTCTGGATAATCTCTTGTTCCTCGCTGACCTGAAACAAATGCTATCGCAATCCGAATCATCAATCCAGTGATGTCGCAGTGAGTTACGTAGGATGAACCGAGCCGGACAGCTGATGTTACCAGAGCGCCTAACACTTTGGCTGGGCGCAGGGACTTTTGTATAATATATAAGTGGATGTTTCTTTCATTTTCGGAAATCGAAGCCGGGAAACCCAAACCATCAAGGCAACCCCTGCCAAGAACTCCCTTCCAATTCTATCCAATTGCGGGATCTCAGAGTTGTGGGGAAAAACATGTTATAAGTTGTGCATGCTGAGAAATTGGGTTATACATGGTCATACCGTGCCATCAACCAATGGTTGCCAGATTGAGATTTCACCAGCTGCTATCATTTGTGCCATCTTGCTACATATCTTCAAAAGTCTTCCAAAAAATATGCACAGTTCCCGACAATTCTTGAACCATGCAGCCAGGCCGCAGCCATGGCACACGGCACTCAAATACTATGCACATGACCCTCCAGCATACTCAAATACATCCTGTGAGCAGCAAAGCGAAGCGCCAACGATTGAAACGCAAAGGCCAGGTTGATCGCGTTCCTTCGCGGAGCGGAGGGGTGGAAGAAGGTGCCGCCCTGCCACAAATGCAAAAGGCCGGGGTACCGTGGTTTAGGGGTCTCTCAGATTTTAACCCCTAAATGTGCTGGTTGATCATCAAACCGATGAAAATTGCGCCATCTTTATGGGTTAAAGTTCCCCCATTTTTGGATCTTAACATGGCAAAACTCCATGTGGGAAACCAGGAGGCCATAAACCTACCATGATTGGGTATGGCTGGAATCCCACCCAAAAAAAAGGTGATGACTTGGGGATGGTTTATGTCGGAGCCGAGAAGCTGCTGCATGGAATCCAAACTTGTCTTGGTGATGGTCCACATAGAAAGGTCTTCGGTAGCCAGCAACTTGTTCTTGCGAGATTCCCCTGGCAACAGAATCCCCACTTGCCCCAGGAGTTATGATGCAAGTATCTTGGGAAACCACATAACCACGCAAATTTTATTGGGTTTATGAGCAATAGATCGAACATCATCCACGTAGTTAATTGGGATTAACCAGGCAACATAACTGGAGCACCACCTTGTTGAGGCGTCCACCATTTCTAGAGATGTGGTTTTGGTTTTTGAACGTATTTGGTTTGGAATTCTGGATGTTCACCCCCCACAAATGATACAATAGGTTTCGACATAGCATAGATAGGAAGATGAACCACACACATGAAGTTACCGACACAATATCATTTTTGATGCGCATGACTGGTAACCCAACCCGTGCGTGGCAAGGGTCTGAGCCATCCAAGCTTAACAAATGAAATGCCAAAGGTCATACCAGTAGTACCGCGCAAGGAGGAGGCGGAAGTTTCAAGGATAGACAACTATAGGAGAGGTGAGATATTGTGATGCATGGATGGCAGGGCGAACCCACTGATGGACTGAAAGGATCCGAAAGGTGGTTGGAGCTGTGCTTTTTGGAGTGGTTGCAGTGGTCACCTCACCCGAACCTGTTGAATGTAGTGTGGCGTGGTGTGGTTTAGTTGTAGTTGCAGTGTCGTGTAGTGGTAGTGGTAGTTGTAGCTGTAGTGTAGCTGAGGTTGAAGTTGTAGTTGTAGTTTGTAGCTGTAGTGGTAGTGGTAGTTGTAGTGTAGTGGTAGTTGTAGTGGTAGTTGTAGCTGCAGTTGTAATGTAGTTGATATTGAGGCTGTAGTAGTAGTAGTTGTAGTTGTTGTAGTTGTAGTTGTAGTTGTAGTAGTTGTAGTTGTAGTTGTTGTAGTTGTAGTTGTTGTTGTTGTAGTTGTAGTAGTAGTAGTTGTTGTTGTTGTTGTTGCTGTTGTTGTTGTAGCTGTAATATAGTCGTAGTGCAAGTTGTAGCGTAGTTGTAGTAGTCGTAGTCGTAGTCGCAGTCGTAGTTGTAGTTGCAGCGCGTTTGAAGTTAAAGTTGTGGTTGTGGTTGTAACTGTACTTGTAGTTGCATAGTGGTAGTGGCAAGTGTAACTGTGGTTGTAGCTGTAGTTGTAGCTGTGGCTGTAGTGTAGTGTAGTGGTAGCGTAGTTGAAGTTGAAGTTGTAGTGCACTTGAAGTTGAAGCTGTGGTTGTAGTGTTAGTTGTAGTGTTAGTTGTAGTGTAGTTGTAGTTGTAGTGTAGTTAAAGTTGAAGTTGCAGTTGTAGTTGTAGTTGTATTGTATTCGAAGTTGAAGTTGAAGCTGCAGCTGTAGTTTTAATGGTAGTTGCAGTTGTAGCTGTAATGTTTTGTTGTAGTGGAGCGTGGCGCAGTTGAACGTCCAAAAGTGGTCCAAACATTTGGTGCTTCTAGCATTTTCACTTCCAAATGTGCTTCGCACTACAAACGCGTGCACGCTTTCAACATCTCAACTTCCAAAAGTGCTCAGAACCAGTCAGTTTTTAACACTTGACTTGGAAATGTGCTTCGCGTCACGACGCTGTGCACTTGTTCATCGTCTCAACTTCCAAAAGTGATCCGGCCATGGTGTGTTTTGTACATTTTAACTTCGTAATGTGCTTTGAGCCACAACACCGTGAACTTTTCATCATCTCCTTCCAAAAGTGCTCCGAGCATGGTGTGTTTTGTACATTTTAACTTCGTAATGTGTTTCTCACCACAACACCGTGCACTTTTTCATCATCTCAACTTCCAAAACTGGTCCGAGTAATTATACCGAACCTGGTGTTTTTTGCATGATTTGACTTCGAAATATGCCTCGCGCCACAACAGCGTGCAATTGTTCATCTCTCATCTCCCCAGATGGCTCCGCACGCGCCGCTTTAGTGAGCCTACTTTTCGACCCTCCGGAACCACAAATCATTGGAAAAACAAATGAATCGCGACGTTTCCACCTTTTCGCGCACCTCCATCTTCTTTCTTCGGACTCTTCCTCTTCTCTGATCTTCTCTCTTCTTCTCTTCTCTTCTCTTCTCTGATCTTCTTTCTTCTCGCCTCTTCTCTTCTCCTCTCTAACTCTTCCCACCTCTGCTTTTCCATCAGTTCATGTTCTCGGAAGTTTGACCTCTAAACTTCCTTCGACCATGATTGATGCTTTCAGCAATTTCTCACAAAGTCACATAACTTATGGGTTTCTCAAGATGTAGTTTCAGCCATGGGGTGGGGTCCAACCCAACTACAACTGGCATACAACTGGCATACGACCTGACCAGTGGTCGCGACTCGCGACTCGAGTCATACGGAGTTAACCCCAATGTGAGATCAATCTGAGTTGGTGCAGTTGATAATCAACTATGTCATAAAATAATCATTCGATATATATTTTCCACATACTGCAGTCATGAAAAAATACTTGGGGATGTGATGTTCATGCTTGATTCTCCCAGGTTGAAAATTCTGTGGATTCTCATAAAAAACGATTGATTTCACAACCATCAGCCCTGTGACTGGCCTGTGAAGAGGTTCAGTTCTCCGACCCAATGTCCTCGCGTTCGACACTGAGAACACTCCGTGCCTTACTGTAGTCTGCGCCGTTTCCTATAGGATCCATGTATGGTATATATATATGCTAACATTTGGGGTATATTGATGGTAAATGTTACCTAATATATGGATCCTATGGGTTTGGTTGAATCTTTGGTACGTTGACAGCCACGGTTCTCCCCGATGTTTTCCCCTTCCAGCGCACCTCGCACGCAGGTCTCCACGAATTCGGACTCGGCATCGCCTAAGCGACAGAAGTCATCCACCACGCCAATGTGACCAGAGACCAGCAGAAATGCGAAATCTGACCTGAGAAGTTCGTAGGCAGAAAGGCTACTTGGATGATCTTGGATGTGCTTTTCCCGCTTAGTATCCATGGTTGGTTTAATCCCATGTCGAGTTGGGGGATGGGGGTATAAGCCATAAAAACTAAGTGGGAAAAGTACCCCCTATGGGTTAAAACGATAGTTATGGGGAGAACACTATAGTAAACTGAGTAAACATATTGTTTAGGCTCAACTTGGAGGATCATCCCGCGAATCTTGACTGAGTAGTATCTATAGTTATTGCTGTAAGCCATCTATATATATATATATGTATATATGTATATATATGGGGATGGGTCAAAACCCTGGTACCTAGTGAACCCCAAAATAGCTGGTAAATGGATGTTCATCCCACTAAAAATGTATCTATAGGTATTGACCCATACCCATATATATATATATATGTCAAGAGATCATAGCACGAGCCCTTGTAGTGGGCCCTTAAATTCCATTCCTTATCTATGCCTTACATAGCCTTTTATACCCCTTATATAATCTTAAATTGTCTAAGCCTTCTATATTCCTTATACATTTTTTTCATATTTGGTTTGCCTCATCAATCTGCATTAGTTTCCTTGTCCCAAGTTTGTCGGTCAGCAAATGGTTTAATTTCTTGCCCTTGCCCAACCGCAACTTTCCCAGAAAAGAACATGCAAGGCATTTCAGAATTGATATTCTGTTTTTTAATCTCCAAATAGTGGTCGATATAATATATGGTATTGTCAAACCCTAGCTGGCCCCCCCCCACATAGATGCCTTAGGGCCCCGAATGGGTCCCAAAATTAGGGGCCCACTAAATGAACTGCAAGCTATTCTGGCTTCATTTGGTGGGCCCCTAATTTTGGGACCCTACCCTCTAGAAGGATACCCTAGGGTAAGAAAAATCCAGATTTCAGACCCCTAAACCCAAACTGAATTAAAGGATATTTGTCTCCTTAATACGGTAAACCTTTACACTGAGGCAAGTTCCAGATTTTGGCAGGGTGAAACTTCTAGGCACTGAAGAAGAGGGCACTATACTAGACATCTTGATTTGGGCTGTAAAGCAGCGGGGACCCAGGACCAATCAACCCCAACAATTCCACAAAAACAGCAAAATAAGGGCCCATCACAGCGGCCCATGCTATAACCTGTAGAATATGTGATAATCATGGATACTCCATGGGTTACCCTCTGGTAGTCAAACGTGGCTTGCTAAAAAATACACCATTTGATGGTGAGAAGCGGGCCATGGTTTTGATTCATTGGCAAACCTTTGGAACGATACTTGGAACAACATAATGATTATAGACAGACTATAAGTAATACTATGTTGTTCCAATAATTGACCAATGGTCGAACAACTATTGGAACACAATATTGGACTCATGATGATACGAGAGGGCAGTGTGAGTTCAACGGATTGGAGAGTTCCGTCATGACCTTATCCTCATTGTGGTAAGAGGGTAAAACAAAATACTGGTGATGAGTTTAAGCCACCATAACGGGGGTTGTAATGGGTAGAAGCATGACCAACATTAAGGGTGACTCATAGGGTTATCATTATCCATAAAACTGAAATACACCAATGGGTATATGCATGAATTGGAGGTTCTGTATTTTTTTCACTATCCGGTCATCCAATTTACAGTACAAGAGTTATATATATATATATATTACATATATATATATATATTCACTTATCACTACCAGTACTTCAGTGGGACATATCTTTTCTATGTTTTGGGGGGTTACTATAATTCAACGAGAATTCAGTGGCCAAGGGGTAAACTTTTTCCCTTCGGCCAGGCCCTTTTTCGAACCCTCTGAAGCTGGCAAGAGCTTAAACCACATGAAACGAAATATACCCAAGACCGAACATCATTTTTCGAAACCATTCATCCACACTTTCTGCTATATTATATCCCATCAAATACTCCATTAAAATTAGGCAAACAAGGGTCGATCCTATCCCAAATAATGAATTCTGGCCAAATATCCTCTACACGAACGAAAAAGAAACATCAATCTTCAGATTAAAGTTGGAACATGGTAAGCAGCTCATCCCAACTTCTCAACTTCCAAGTGAGTCACCAAAGAATTGTATCCCTTCATGAATCCTCATTGTTGCAGTTTTAAATGTTTGGGGGTATGTTACCCTCATTGTCAGACCCAAATCATGAGATTGTTGGCTGTATGACTTATATTATATTATGTATATATATATATATATTATAGTATGTAGGTGTGTATATATATATGTAGGTATATATATATTATTATTAAGTTATATCATTTTATATCCTCATGTGAAGCTTTCTCAAGTCATGGAGGATCAGTCGTCACCATGGCTTTCAATACTAAACTGGTCATGACGACTGGATATTGGATGATCTGGGGTCCATTGCTTAATCCCATTCATATTCCGTTAAAGTGCATAATACATAACTATTCCATCCATACTCCATGTATTTGATTCCATATTCCATTCATATGCCATTCATATTTCAAGAGCATCCATAACTATGGTTAAACCAGTTCAAACATGTTAAAACCATTCTAAGTCCCCAAGGCTCATTCCCTCACTCCAAGTAACTCATCGCCCACAGTCCAGAGCACCGTTCCCTTCTTGGCGCATTGGAATTGGAAGAACTTCTGCAACCCCTCGGCTGTCGCCATTGGCAGCTGCAAAGCATCCAAAATCTCCTTCCAGGCCTCCTGATGCTGGAAATCACCAGAAAAATGACTGGGTTTCGGATGGGTTTCACCAAGAATTTTTTTTGGGATTTCACCTGCAGAAATTTTCAGAACACGTGGGATTTCAAGTACAGAAATCAACAAAAAGTTGTATTTCACCTACAGAAATGATTTTGCCATAGACTTATGGGATTTAAGTAAGCATCAAACAACGTAGGATTTAAACAGCAAACACAAGGTTTAATCAACATCAATGTGCAATTATGCTGATTCATGATAGGTTTCTGGTGATAGGCAGAGCAAGCGAACTATCCTTAGCCGGGATTGTAGTTCATGTTGATGTTTTTGTTTAACTCAGGTAAATAATTATCATCAACTGGGGCAAATATCGCCGCAACAACAGAAAAAGAAACGGGATTCACCAACAAGATTTGGGTTATGGGAACATGTTTGCCAACTTGACTGGTTGGTAGTTTCGAATGCTGGTTTAAGTTTAAGCCATCATGACTGGGATGCTGTGGGTATCATGACCACACATATCAAAAAAATGTTGTAAATTGTATACAATATTATACAACCAATCGAAGTGGAATTGTAAAGTTTGAACAAAGGTGGTTCATTGATATTGCTTTCGGCCACCTTGAAATGGGTTTAGTTCATCAGCAATGAAATGGGAATACATTGGGCATATAAGCAGAGTTCCCCTGCTGTTGATAGGTTTCTGTATGTTTCTGTTGGCAAACGTGTAACTAGGCAATAGCTCTTGGATTCTGGATATATCGACAGTTGGGTGAACAGCAACAAACATCACCGGGGGGAAATCGATCAACTCTGACGGGTTTATGGTGGATCCATAGTGGGATTAACCAACTTAGAACTGGACATCATGAACCGTGGACAAAAGTCCAGGAAGACCAACGAGTTATTGAAGTCAAACCAAGAAACATATGTGGTATGAACCCCCTAAACCGGGCTAGGTATCAACCCTTTCAGTCAACAGCCGGGTGTGGGGAGTTATTTCTCTGGTGGCCGCGTAACAGCCAGTGAGCGGCTTGTAACCCTAGGAGAAATCCTCATGTTGTGGCAGTTGTAACTCTAGATCCTTGTTGGAATATTTTGATGGGTACTAGGTACAGCATGGTACAACTGGTTGCGGGGCGCATTATTGTATAATCATGTGTTGGTGACGGTGACGACTATCCAATTGTTTGTTTCATGACTCTGAAATTTTCACCATCTGTGTTTTTCCACTCATAGGCACCGTTGTTGGCTTAACACCTCAAAATGCAGCAGTTCTCTGGTGGTGACTGAGTAGTACCCCAGCCCCTCTGCCATCCCCTTCTACTGCGCTTGAATGAGTGTACTACCAAACGGCCCTGAAACCTGAAAACATATTTAATATCATGTAATATCTTCAACCAAACCAAGTAGCGGTCCAAGCCAAAAACAAAGACTATTAGACACCGTCCCATATCGCCATGAAAAACCTCCTTGGCTCCCCATGGAAGTTGTTGGGAATGTGGATACCGCAATACCCGTATCGATATGAACCGCGAACCGCTCCCTTACTCACTGGATAATCGGATAACCCTCCACCATCCTTAGGTCCCACATCCTTAGGTCTTAACATACCCTAACCAACTCTTAGATCCATTCGGATCCTCCTCACTTTTCTTAACCCTCAACGCTCCGTAACCAACGGTGCTGCCGTGCTCCTGGAAGAACTCCACCTCCTCCCCTGTGGCCACTGCTTGGACCATGGCAGTGCTGGCCGCGTGCGCGCTGGCCGTGCGCTCGCGTGCGCGGTGGCTGCTGACGCTGGTGGGGCTGTCCCCCGCCTCAGAGAGGGCGGACTGCTCCAGCTGCGTCACGCCCTCCTGGGAGAGCCAAGAAAGCTTTAAAACCCCAAAGGTCGTCCTTTTGGATGCCTTTTGGTTCATAGATGTTTATAGGGATTCGGGATTCCCATAACAAAAAACAAAACCATCCAAAATTCAAATTCCATTCAGTATATACAACTGGGGTTTTTGAGACTTGTGCAGGTGGTGGCAAATTTGAGAGGTCACTTGGGAGCTGAACTAGGCAGCCAGGCTTTTGGGTTTATTCTTGGCTATTCAAATAGCTATTCAAATAGGTTATATGGACAGGAGACTTCCACCCAACTGAAAAAAAGAACAGAACTTAAATAAGGCCAGCTATGGGGATGATTCCCCTTTCCTTTGTATCATTCCGTTGTGAGGTCACAGTGGGGTCACCACCCGGTCACCAGTTCCACGATTCCTCCATAGTCTTCACGAAGATAGCATGAGTCAATAGCCTGCTGTCTTGGCAGCACACTGGTTGGTAGGGAAAGTAGATCCTAGAAGATTCCAGTCATATGCTCCATGTAGTTGCCATGTCCAGTGAGAATATTGGATCACAACTTTTTGGATGGGAAAGCCTGCAAGAAAACGCTTAGATGATGTTAGATGATGAGAGAAACTGAACATAGACAAAGCTGCCCATGAAAATTGCGGAGTGGAGATCATTTACAAGATGATCTATCGCACAGATTGTTCTCTATACTTGGGGGTCCAACCATGTTCTATGCCAGGTTCTGTTTCAAAATCACCGACGATAACCGGCTGGGAAGACCAAAACAGCACCAGAAATCAATGGGACTGCTATGGTGCCATCGATGTCTGGTAGGATTACTGGGCTTCACCCATGCAGATCTTGCTCCACTGCTCAACACTTCTGCTTGGTGGTTTCAACCCCCACATCTCATCCCAACTGGGGATTGGCTTGGTTCAAATCTGCTCAAATCCATGTTTGGAAAAGGTGAAACAATCATTTGAAAAGGGCACCCGGGCACAAACAATGTTCTTCGCCGGCGACAAAAACATGAAATCAAATACAGTTATGTTGAACTCCATTCTTTTGCAGGTGAACCAAATACAATCAACACTTGTGCAACAAAACAACATAACAAGAACAAACATGTTAGAAAAAACAAAAGAACTCTGGGTTTTCTTCGGGAAAAAACACACCGAAGAAATCTCTGAATTATTAATTGCTGGTTCAACTCCGCTTAAATCTCAAGAATTTCCCAGCTCCATCTGACTCCGAGCAGCTCAGGATAGCGCTTGACCTTGCAGAGATCCCGAAGGCCACTACAAATCCTGGGCGATCGGTGCTTTTCCAGGATGAGGCGTTTTTACTACCCTTTGGTCATCTCGTATAGCTATGGAAAATGACCCATTTATAGATCATGTACCTATAGTAGATAATATGTACCATCTTTAACTATAGGAAAATGTCATACCTAATGTACCTATATTTGATTAATAACCTATTCTTATAGATCATATGTACCTATAAAAAATATTGATAGTAGATATTCCTGTTTTAGCCAATCTTGATACCCTGCAAAAAAATACACTGTTAGCTGGTTAGTACATATGTCTATAGCCCAAAGATTCAAGGATTCAACGTTCCAGAGTAATGGCAAATGGCTCTATGTTTTGTGGCTAGAATTTTAGGATTATTTTAAGAATAATGTAATAATCATACCCTGATATATGAACACGTGCCTTTGAAAGAAAGGGATCACTGTTAGAAGCAACCCCGAAGCTATAGTCATCTAATCTATGGCAATCTATAATCTATGGCTTTCTATGGCTATAGTCTATGACTGTTTTTTTCCGATGGCGACATGGATTGACTATCCTCTTTCTGTTATATCGCTGTGAACATCATCCAAAAAATCTCGGTTCTCCTACTGCAAAGTTTGAAATATGTTGATATGTTCAAAAAGGCCTTTGCCGGCAGATGCTCGTTTCCTCCAACTTGTTGGGTTGATGTGAGCAAACTCCAACCAGAATCCCACCCAACACTGAATAAACGTGAAAACACAAGGTACAGTGAGACTTCTACCCCTTTTTTTGATAATTCCTGACGGAAGACCGCCAAAAATATGCTAGCCTTCTGCTGAAACTAAGCTTGAGCATTTAGACTGTACCTTTGCTGCACACATTCCCCAGGAAAAATCTGTCCAACCTTCCGCTGCACAAAAGGCCATAAACTATCCATGAACTAATCCATAAAATCCATAAATGCCAACATCACCCAACAAAAATCCACAAAAAAATCCAGAAACAAATCCACAAATCCAAGAATCACCACGGCTGCGACAAAAAAAAAAAAATGGGAATTGTATGGGGATTTCTTTGGAATCCATATTCACAAAAAAAATACATCAGCAAATCCACGTATCTTTGCCAGAGGTCAACATTAAAAAAGAAAAACAACCAAAAAATCCTTCGAATGTATAGGTTCGTGGTTAGTCCCCCACATTTTTTTCAGACATCATATTTCAATGACATATCAAGATTCCTAAACATATCTAAACAAATTTAAACCATGGGGGTACCCCAATAGCTGGATGCTTCATAATGGAAAACCCATAATCCTACATGGATGAGAACTGGGGGTAGCTCTATGACTTGGAAACCTCGAGACCTCTATATACTAGGACATCTCTATAGGATTCCCATATGGGGATGGGTCAAAACCCTGGTACCTAGTGAACCCCAAGTCATTGCTGGTAAATAGCTGGGATTTATGGATGTTCATCCCACTAAAAATGGTATCTATAGGTATTGATCCATAGCCATATAATTTCAGCATAAAACCAAAAACCAGAGATTGCCTTGCCGCATAGCTGCATAGCTCCATGATGTGGGAATCAACATATTTCAAGATATTTAAAGAACCTATTTCTGCCAAAAGGTCAATATAAAATTTAATATATCTATAATATTTATAATCACTTAAGGACAATTTCAAACAGAAATCTTTAGATATGGTCAAATCATGGAAGAAATCAGTTTAAACCCCTTTTTCATTCCCATATCATTGATTATCATTCCCACATATTTCTGCGCCAAAGGTCAATGTCACCTGTTGTTGCTGCAACATCTTTGCCGCCATCTCCAGTTCTACGAAGCTAGTGGAGTCCATAGAGGTGACTTGTGCGAAGTCGATGATCACAGCACTGCAACGTACCTCGGTGACCGGTGACCGACCCATAACGTGACCCGTTGAAGACGAGATGACACAACAGCTATACCCTCTGGTAAACTAACATAGCTATTGAACATGGCAATTTATAGTTGATTTACCCATTGAACATGGTGATGTTCAATAGTTATGTTAGTTTACCAGAGGGTATACCCTCTGGTGTCATCAAACGTGGCGGAAATCCACGAGAAATGCGGCTTTCAATAGGAAAGTCATCAAATTAAATAGTGTAGAAATACCAGCACGCCATGTTTGATTACCAGAGGGTATGTTTAAAGACATGGCCATCCTACACATATCCAATGAATATTCCATACATATAATAATATATATATATATATTATATTATATATATATTATATTATGTATATTATATATACACATGATTTAATTTCGTACATGCTGGAGGTTTCCCGGAAGTTAAGTAGAATGAAACTGTTTTCAGAAGTGCGCCTATATATTCATGTCTTGTTGGTATCCCAATGTGTAGCTGTCCGCAAGACAATATAAGATGTTTCTGTTGGAAAACGTGGCTAGGCTATGCATCGTTAGGACGAATTTATATGAGCGATTGTGAAAACCCTAGGTTCACGGAAAGGACATCCACAAATTTGGGAAGGTCCCATCGCTTACCACACGTTTGTACAATAATGATATATGGTAAACTTGGGGGGTATCGCTTGCAGGAAACTGCTGCATTTTATATATATATATATGTGTGTGTGTGTGATGAACTATGAATAATATGTGATATTTGGGTATCGCTAATGTGGATATTAGAGAAATATGATGACATAACCTTGAAAAGGGGTATCGCTAATTTGGGAAGGTCCCATCGCTTACCTCGTGTTTTTAACAATTTCCATCAATTTCCATAAGCCAATGTCCGTCGAATACATATTTAGTATTGCCGGGGTTTTTACGGTTGCTCATATGTTTATATGTGTTTATGATGTGGTGATTTCTATGGATTTCTGATGATTTAAAGTTGGATACATCACAATGCGACGATGGATTTCAGCAACGGACATCTCGGGCCTCGATCGCCCTTTGGCGAGGTTGTCCGACCAATGCCCATCTCGAATCAGCCAAAGTCATATCCCAAGATGCTTACATAACATATATACAATATATGTAGTATACTGTATACTTACTGAGTGGGTGTGCATGCCAATTCAAACTTTTTTCCGTTGGGTTCGCGCGCAATTTTGGGGCATCAAATTGAGCCTCCTTGCGCGCGCGAACCGAACCCAAAAAAAAAATCAAGTTGAGACACTGGCTGAGTTAGAATATGGGGTAAAAACTAACATAGATGTGGTGAAAACCCATGGCCAAACCGTAGGAACATTATCTATTTTATGGAGTTTTTATGGGTCTTTATGGTGGGTTTAAACCTTCAAAAAGGATAGATCCATCTACCGGGGATATCTCCCGTGCAGGTCTACCAAGTCACATTCTCCACATGTTCGAGCAAGGAGTGAGCGTTGCCAAAAAATAAGACGCCTTGCAACCTGGAATCATTTTCAAGACATGGGATGTTTGTAACACATTTTTAGGGTGACATATCTATTATAAAAAGCAGTAGTGATCTATTATGATTTCTGGGATGCAAATTCTCCGATGTTAATCACCCATCATCACACCAGAACTCTCATGACGCAAAGTGTGTTTGAATCATATAATCATGTGGTAAACCCAATGCCAAAACAACCCAACCAAACTTGGAGGTGATGCTCCATCATCCGAACCCGGTATACCATGGTATACCCACTAAATCCCACCAATATCATCTAAGATCTATGTAATAATCCTGTGGGGCTGGTGTATGGCTTGGGTTTACCAACATGACATCTTCCCGCTGTGACATGGGCTGATGACAAACGGCTGGCAGGTACCACCTTTCCATTGTCAAACAATGGCAGCCATGGTTCTTCATGAGCCCAAATCTTCAAAAAAACACATCGGGGACATGTGTTCAAATGCCATCAATCTCATCAGTTGTGAAGAAGGGATCACCTGATGATCACACTATGGACATAGCGTCATAGTCATAGATCATCATCGATCCACAAAGCCCCGGAGTAATTCGTTTTTGTGGGTTGTCCGCACAGTCTCTTCGGAACATCCAGGTGCAACAAAATCCCAATCCCACACTGGAAAGGTTTCTGGACACTCGGTGACTCGGTGAAGGTTCCGAATGGCAGATCACATTATATGAGTCGTTGCCCTTCTTTTTGTTTGTGAATTGGCCTTGGATCAAAACATCTGGTACCAAAAATGCTTCCCACCAACCTACTTTTAGCTGGTAAATGCTGTTCATCCCCAAAAAATATGGTAAATGACCCATCACACAAGGATCCATGTAGATGATTGAGCAACCAAGACTCCTAGCATTGGTTGGAGGGAACATTGGCAGGAAACCTCCCTATTCACAGTGAAAACAATGCTTTGCTTTGATCTCCAGTTTCCCTTACACCAAAGATCACCAAACTATTGAAGGATATGTAGTCGATACTTTTTGGGAAATCGAAAAAACAACTTATCATCCGAATCGTCGAAGTAAAGAAAAACAAAACGGTTTCACAAGGTGGGTCAAAACCAGTTTATGAATGTGTGTTTACCCACATAATTCAACCATGTTCAACATTGTTCAACCATGTTCAACCATTCTACCACAGTTTTGTGTGTGAAACCCCGTTGGGGCCCCAGGGTCATCCCTTTCTCATCCCTTCTCCCTTTTTGATGCACAAAACATCCCCTTTTTGGTCAGTTATAAATACACCCCACCAGGATCAACCGGTAGATTCATCAACGTACGGCCCATAATCGGGCCAATCGGGCCGGCCGTAAAGGGGGCAACAACGGGTGGATGGATCAGATTGGGAGAACCCCTTGAGGTTCGAACCCCACCTGAGAATCAAAAATCCAGCGCTGCGGTCATAATCCTCCAGGATCTGCGTTTCAGTTTTGCTCCGTAGCACTCGAGATCTCAGTCCCTTCCCTAAGAAGGCAACTCGAGGGAACTCGGAACCCTGGGAACCCTGGGAAGCCAAATGAACACCACGGATGGGTACAAAAAGAACAGGGGCCAGGGGTACGTTTGACCATCAAAGCAGGAGGCACCTACAACACAAATGGTGAAAAATTAGAACTTAGGCTTAGACATGTTGCCTGATGTGAGCTGGGATTGCTGGGTGGATATGGTTATGTCTCAAGATGATTGGCTCCCAAAAATTCGATGGTTTCATTCCCATCTTGACCGAATTAGCAAGTCACTTGGTACCTCCATTTTAAACCGTACCCATTCCACAAACGGTAAGATCACCACAGTGAGAATCAAGTCAAGAGCCGGGAAATTGGAACCTGGCTGCCAACAACATCAACAATCCAACTACTTCTGGAGACTAATCCGCGGAATCTTCGGTGAGGAAACCATAGTTGGTCCCCCGGTCAAAAATTCTAAAATCAATTGAGACATCCCCACCTTAAAACTGGGACTATAGGGCCAGCATTTTTGTTGGGGACATTTCTCCGAACAGCCCAAAGAGCACCAAACATGACAAACGTTGTACCAACAATTTTGAGATTTCCCAAATCGCAGGTTCTGTGCTGTTAGGATGATCTAGCTTGAATCAGTGTTTCCGACTGATCTTGATTTAAGTTTGAACTGTCGCAACAAAATCAGTTGATTTAACCATACTAGTCAACTGTGACGTGTTGATTTAACATGTTAATGGATCTGATCACAGTTTCAAAACATCAAAACATTTACTGTCTATAATTCGATAACAATTCACTGAGCTGAACATTTCGGGCGTTTTGGGGTATATAGTTAACCCCTACAAGTCACAATCAATCCAAACATGACGTTGCAGAGAGATCTTTTCAGAATTCACCCAGATCAATACAACAGGAATGTGATGGAATGGGTACAATATAAGCCGCACAAACACAACATGTTAATCTTAGAGAATCTCAGGGGTTGTTCATTTCCTTCATTTTCCAACGATTTCCTCATTGCTACGGCTATCTGTCAGTCCAACGATCTCGGTGCCAGGCGACCGGGATAGAAGGTGAGTTGCACCGGCTCTGACATGGAGGTCTGCGCCACAAATGCCATGCAGGCGCAGAAAAGACCCAGGAGGAAACCCGAGACGAAGTCGACGTTACCTCAGCTTAGCCTCCTGGAACCGACAAAAAACAACAACCTATGGTCATCATTTAAATGTTGGTAAATCAACTATAAAGTCAAAATAAAATTACTTTACTTCGTGTGATCCCCACCATGACATTTATACATTTTCTTACTGGCAAATCTTCTGGCATTCTATCTGACATATCTTCTGACAATCTATTTGGCATTCTATCTGGCATATCTTCTGGCATATGATCTGGCATATCTTCTGGCATATCTTCTGGCATTCTATCTGGCAAATCTTCTGGCATTCTATCTGGCATATCTTCTGGCACTCTATCTGACATATCTTCTGGCATTCTATCTGGCATATCTTCTGGCATATATTCTGACATATCTTCTGGCATTCTATCTGCATATCTTCTGGCATATATTCTGACATATCTTCTGGCATATCTGGCATATCTTCTGGCATATCTATCTGGCAAATCTTCTGGCATATTTTCTGGCATTCTATCTGGCAAATCTTCTGGCATTCTATCTGGCATTCTATCTGGCATATCTTCTGGCATATTATCTGGCATTCTATCTGGCATTCTTCTGGCATTCTATCTGGCATTCTATCTGCTTTTATTTGGCATTCTATCTGGCATATCTTCTGGCATATCTATCTGGCATATCTTCTGGCAGATTTTCTGGCATTCTATCTGGCAAACCTTCTTCCTACTTGGCATGAGGTCCGGCAGGGAACACTTGGCGTTGATACTCGCGGTTGAGGTCCGGCAGGGACACTTGGCGTGGATACTCGCGGTTGAGGTCCGGCAGGGAACACTGGGCGCGGATGGTCGTGGTTGAGGTCCGGCGGCAGGGAACACTGGGCGGGGATGGTCGTGGTTGAGGTCCGACAGAGAACACTGTGGATTCGCGGGTCGCAGTTGGACGAGGAGGAGGACGAGGAGGAGAGGAGGAGGAGACGAGGCCAGGAGGCAGGAGGAGGCAACTGACATAAATCTAACAACCTCACCTGGCAGGTGGGGAAAAAAATTACTTTACTTCGTGTGATCCCCACCATGACATTTATACATGTTCTTACTGGCACATCTTCTGGCATTCTATCTGACATATCTTCTGACATTCTGGCATTCTATCTGGCATATCTTCTGGCATATATCTGGCATATCTTCTGGCATATCTTCTGGCATTCTATCTGGCAAATCTTCTGGCTATTCTATCTGGCATTCATATCTTCTGGCATTCTATCTGGCATATCTTCTGGCATATATTCTGGCATATCTTCTGGCATTCTATCTGCATATCTTCTGGCATTCTATCTGGCATATCTTCTGGCATATGGCATATCTTCTGGCATACATATTTTCTGGCATTCTATCTGGCATCCTATCTGGCATTCTATTTGGCATTCTATCTGGCATTCTATCTGGCATATCTTCTGGCATATCTTCTGGCATTCTATCTGGCATTCATTCTCTTCTGGCATTCTATCTGGCATTCTATCTGACATATCTTCTGACATTCTATTTGGCATTCTATCTGGCATATCTTCTGGCATCTGGCATATCTTCTGGCATTCTATCTGGCAAATCTTCTGGCAAATCTTCTGGCATTCTATCTGGCATATCTTCTGGCATTCTATCTGACATATCTTCTGGCATTCAATCTGGCATTCTATCTGACATATCTTCTAGCATTCTATCTGGCATTCTATCTGGCATATCTTCTGGCATATATTCTGACATATCTTCTGGCATTCTATCTGGCATATCTTCTGGAATATCTTCTGGCATATCTATCTGGCATATCTTCTGGCATATTTTCTGGCATTCTACCTGGCAAATCTTCTGGCACTCTATCTGACATTTTATCTTCCTACATGAGGTCCGGCAGGGAACACTTGGCGTGGATACTCGCGAGGTCCGGCAGGGAACACTGGGCGTGGATGGCCGTGGTTGAGGTCCGGCAGGGACCACTGGGCGTGGATGGCCGTGGTTGAGGTCCGGCAGGGAACACTGGGCGTGGATGGTCGTGGTTGAGGTCCGGCAGCGAACACTGTGGATCGCGAGTCGCAGTTGAGCAGGAGGACGAGGAGGACAACGAGACGAGGAGGACAACGAGAGGAGGAGGACAACGAGAGGAGGAGGACGACGAGAGGAGGAGGAGAGGAGGAGGAGGAGCAGGCAACTTAGATAAAATCTAACAACCCTCACCTGGCAGGTGGGGAAAAAACTCAAAACCTATGGTAAACTAACAGTTTGCGATGGAAAAACACAATTTGTATGTGGGTAAATCCACGAACATATATTTGTTAAAATAACACAAACATATATGCTTTATCACCATCTTTTAGAAAGGGTAAATCAGCGAACTAAATGGGCCATGGCTTCAATGGCAAACTGTTGGTTTACCAGAGGGTACCATGAGCTGATGGAGCTGATGTGTTGATGGCTTGCATACGAAAGGGTTTCTGTTATGTTTGGGTCATCGTGGTATATGTTTGGGTCTTGCCCAAGTTAAGCAAATGAGTTCTATCTCATGTCCGTTGTTCCCCACCTGTCAGATGAGGGTTGTTAGATTTTATCCCGCTTCCTCCTTCCTCCTTCCTTCCCCCTTCCTCCGCCGGACCTCAACTGCAAGCTCTAGATTGCAGTGTTCCCCGCCGGACCCCAACAGCAACCTCTGGAGGACCTCCACCGCAAGCTCCGGATCAAAATGTTTCACGCCGGACTTCAACCGCGATTTCCGGATCAGAGTGTTCCCCACCGGACTTCAACCACAAAGAATCTCCGAAGATATACCAGATAGAATGCGAGAAAGAATGTCAGAAGATATGCCAGATTCTATGCCAGAAACAATACCAGCATGAATTCCTGAAAAGATGCGAGATAGAATGTCGGAATAGATGCCAGATAGAATGCCAGAAAGAATGTCAGAATATATGCCAGAAAGTTTGTCAGAATAGATGCCAAATCGAATGTCGGATAGAATGTCAAAGATATGCCAGAAAGAATGTCAGATAGAATGCCAAAATAAATATGCCATATATATATATATATACACTTGCAGATGGTATGTCAGAAACTATGTCGCAAAAGTGTTTCAGGGTGGGGATCACTCGAAGAGACTCAGCCAAATCTGCCAAGGTAATGCACCAACCAGAGCCGGTCAGAGTGAAAAACTTTTGTGAACTTCAACAACATCTGGGGTAGATCCCATATCATGGTATATTTGCCTAAACATGTGGGCCTTCAAAAAGTCAGTCGGCCTTGTAGGCCACTTTATATCTATCTATACATATGTATATATATAATGTAATATAATATATGTATGTAATATAATAGATATATATGATTATATATACGTATGTGCAATGTGTATACATATCCCAAACATCTTAATACATCTCGAAACAATGTACAATATGCCCAAAACATCAAGGTATAATGATGTATCATAGATCATATACCTCAAAGATCCTGACATCGCCGAGGCGCACATCAGTGCTATGGCCACAAGCATGATACACTCCAACCAATCCAGGCCAGGTAGGGTGTCCACGACCGATTCGAAGAACAGCTCTACACCGATGTGCATCATCAAACACCTCAGGCTGGATGTAAACAGTGGGGTAAACAGTGGAGTAAACAGGAGGGTGCTTTTCTGAAAATGATGATTTCATGGTGGTTGGGATTCAATTGGGATATAACCAATTGATTTATGGATGTAGTGGGAAGATTGTATCAGATATATCCTCTAGTAATGACTAATAGCCTGCAAACTGGAAGCCATGGCCCAAAGGATTTACCTATAAACATGGTGAGGTTCAATATTTCTTTTAGTTTGCCAGAGAAAAACTAAATTGATGACATGGCTGGAACATCTCATTCACACCTCCATTTATTGTAAATCTATGCTGAATCTATAGTGAGTTATGGTAAATCATTCAGCACCTTAGATTTTGGTGGAGATTTGGTATGCGATTTTTGCGCAATCTGTGGTGAATATTAGTGGTAAATCATCACCTCAGGGTTTTCTACCTTAGGGATAGACGATTTCGAATGATTTCTATATGGTAAATCTATGGTGAATCCACTATTTACAGTAACCTATGGTGAATGTTATACCAACTAAAATAGTAAATATGTTGCAAATTTAAAGATCCGTAATACGGATATTCACATGCATTATACCATCGATTGTCTTTATTTGAATATACTCTGCTATGACTGTTGGATTTATGCTAGATATATCATCAACCATCTGAATAAAACACACATAAAACGTTTTTTTCGTGAGTTTTGTGTGGGGAGTCTTATGTCATTGGATTGTTTTTTTCAGGAAGACATACCGGAACACCTGAATTTCTTCTTGAAGGCCTTTTTTCTAAAACCACCTGCAGGATGGGTCAAAACGGCTTCCCTACAGAAGAACTTACTGTGGTTTATGGGTGTTTATGGCAGATATATCTAAAGTTCATGGCTGTTCCAAATCAACTTATACCTGGGGTGGCACCACCAACATCCACCAACCGTATTTATAGGTGCTGCATGGTGGAAAATTGCTATGAGTGGCCCCAACTGGGGATCACTGAGCCATGCCAGAATCCCAGGGTCGCATGATGTCCCATGGTCGCACTAGGGCACCCCATAGGCTTCTAGGTTTAGCCATGGATTTTCGATATGATCGATTTAGCTGTAACCTTTCATCCATTGACAAATCAGGTATGGGATGATGACATGAACCTAGCCCGCTGGATGCTTCATGGAAACTCTCCCCAAAAAATTGGGATGATTTGGGGGTATCCCTCCCATTGATGGAAACCATCATCTCCAACAAAAAAGAGTGAATTTAGGGCTATCCCCCATTTTTGAACCCCCCATATCTGCCGGCGTCGTGCAACGTGCAACTCGCAACGCACGTTTCGTGGCCCAGTTGCCCGGCCACTACTCGTGGCAAGCGGATGATGATGCTGGGGATCCAAGGAATACACCACAGTAACAGCAAGGCCAGCAGAATGCTGCTCACCTGTCCTCGTCCACCGCACTTGTAATACAAGAAACCTCGCGGTTGCGAACAAAAAAAGGGCCGGTAAATCATGGCCTCGTGTATATATATATATATATATACATGTATGTATGCATGCATGCATGCATGCATGTATGTAGGTATGTATGTGTATATATATATTATGTATAGCTTGCCGTGGTTGAAAGGCGCGTTCTTTTAATTTTTCGATGTCCAAGATTTGAAAGAAAGATACTATAATCGTCTACAATCCATCATCCACCAAAATGGAACTTGGCCAGACATGTTACCAAAGTCATCAAACACGGCTGGAAAATCCCTTATAAATGGGCATTTTAGTGGGAAGACATGGGAAAATCATCTGTAAATGGAGGTTTATAGCTGGGAAAATCATCTATAAATGCATGTTTTGAATGGTAAATTCATCGAACCGAATGTGTTTTTTTCCAGCTTGCGCCAGAGAGTACATCCAAATCGCCCCGGCTTGTACTTGATGTGGTAAAGCCTACCTAGACCCTCCAAATGCCCCAAAACATGCTTAAAGTTAAAGATGGCTAAAGTTAAAGATGGCTAAAGTATGTTAAAGTACAAAAATGATGGGATCAAACACGATGTTTATGGGTACAAACGGAGGGTCCACCGTTTGGAGCTTCAGGTGAAGCCAGATCCGTACGAGGTTCACGCGTGTGAACATGTTTCCTGGAAGCCTCAGAGTGACCAGAAAGTCTATAGAGAAAAACAATGTACCACCATTTTCATCTAGGTAGGATCTTATTTTCTATTTTCTTGGGCGGCTTGATAAATTTGCTGAATGCGTTTATAAACATTCTCTAAAACATTCTCAGATCCTTGAACTCTGAGACTCTGAGTGACTGGAGGAAAAGGTCATGTAGGTCTGTAAGGACCCAAAGCAGGCAGATAGCAAATTGGCCACACCATGGGCCATCAGGCTAGCGTCGATGTCCTGGCGCACCATTACACATACCCCGCGCTGTTGACCCCCCAGTTGTGTTTTTCAGCGCGGATTCGCCCTTATTCTCGTGATTGCTGGTTCAAATTGACGTAGCGAACTGGATAATCACCATTTAATTTCTGGTAAATCATCAAGAATCATCTATAAAGTGGCCATTTTCCATAGCTATGTTAAATAACCAAAGGGTATATAATACTAAACCTTTACTGTAGACGCGAAGTATCATGGTTGTTTGACGTACCCTGGTAAAATCACCGTGGGTAAAACTGGCTGTCATGTTTACCACCCCCCAGTCATCACCATTTGTTTATCGGTGCTATGAACTGACCATTCCAAAATATTCCCTTAAATGGGTAATCGTAACATACCGCGAATATTTGGCAATGCTACCCAGATATTTGACGTCATGGCCGTCATGACCTATGACCCATGGCTGGCGGTGGTTTATCTCCCATTCTTTTACCCACTCAATGGGAGATCTTCAGGATCCAACTCATTGAGCTACTGTGGTACTGTAGTACGTACCATATGTTTGGCCGGGAATTTCCAACAACATATTTTCTGGGGATATCCCCTGACATATTCAACAAATACAAAAATGGAATTTCAGGTATTCTGGTATGTTTGGCCATATTTTCTGGGGATATTCCCTGAAAAAAAAATCGGCCTGAAAAATATCGGCCGCACATCTGCTAGGTGACATGGCTCCACAGAGATGAACGATCCATCGGAGCTGCGTCCTGCTTGCCTTTTGTGACTGCCGCCAAGGCCGGCACATTCACAGGGACATGCAAGCAACCTGAGATTCTGACGTGGAAATCACGCTAGTAACTGAGGTATACCGTATATCCAATATATACCAATATATCCAATATATATATATATATATATATATTTATATTGTATAATTGTATATGTGTATATCTATATAATCTATAATGTGGTTCCTACATGTTCTTACATACACTTACATAGTAACTGGGATGCGCATCCACGGGCCTAAAAAACTTCAGACCGCTCAGACGTAGCCGTGTTTTGGTCAATTGTTGGTGTCCATTCGTGACGTGTTGATGATTTTGAGCCATTCCCATCTCTAACAATTTCTGAAACTCAGAAAAAATCTCGGTGCTGGCCCGGGTGAAAAAGTTGCGACAAGAGACTGAACAGCATGATGCCGATGAACAAAGGCAGCTGATCTGGAAAAACATTCCATGCCACGAGATCAACGCTTTTGATGTACTCGAAGGTAAAGTACCTGACCCAGCCGCTGATTGAAGAGCATGTGATAGGCTAGCAGGGTGGTTTTTTTGGGGAGCCACAGAACTAGGTGAACTTAGATTTTTTCCAGGGATATGTCATGATATATCATGATAATTCATGATAATTCATAATAGTTCATAGTAGCTCATGAAAAATCATGATAATTCATAATCGTTCATGATGATTCATGATAATTCATGATAATTCATGATTTTTCATGATTTTTCATCATTCGTCATGATAAGTCATGATACTTCATGATACTTCATGGTACTTCATGAAAATTCATGATAATTCATGATAGTTCATGGTACGTCATCATAATTCATGCTAATTCATGATCGTTCATGATACTTCATGATAATTCATGATAACTCATGGTACTTCATGATATATCTATAGTTAGATGATGTTAGATTGGCTCACAAAGGCACACTGCCATGGGGAGCAGCATCAGCGTTCCCGGGCTCGTGGCTTTCGGCGTCGGTTGAAGATGTTGGATGGGTGAAGATCATCTACGACAAGAACAAATGGTGTAAAGCAACACAACAAAATCAGAACTAAATTCACAATTGGCATTTATATGGATTTATATGTATATTCTATACTGGTTGGATCTGGTTGGTGTACATACCCCCCTGAAACATATGCTCGTCAGTTGGGATGATGAACTTCCCAATATTCAAGAATACAAAATGTTCCAGACCACCAACCAGAGAAAAAGTAGGAATTCCAAACAACAACACCACATTCAGAAAAAAAGGCATTCCAGACAAAATATAATTAGATGATTCGTTTCCTCTCGGCATTGACCTTTGGAGATCATTGGGGCAACAAAAAACGAGGGCGTCTTCCACGTGGCTAACCTTAGCCATAGACATCCCTGGATCCATATACAATATCCTTAGGTACAAATATCGTTGTATATATATATATATCAGAAGTATCTGATAAGAACAATATACTTAGGCAATCTCTAACATTAGATATTGGTACTGGCTGGTACTGGCACAGAATCAACTCCAGCATATTTTGTGAAAAGGCCAGAGTCTGAAAACCTCCATCAACAGGCCAATGGATCCACTACCCAACATGACTGTTTGCGTGTGTTATGTGATGTGGTAATTCAATCTACCCTCTGGTTATTTAACAGTTCGCCATGGTATAGATGGTCCATGTACAGATTGTTTACCCATTACAAATGGGTGGATCTTTCCATGGCTATGTTAAATAAGCAGATGGTAACATCACTTATAATAAAAGAACAACGACAAATCATCTGTGTGTCTGTGTGGTTCTCATCCGAAACCATCTCATACCATCTGGTAAACTAACAAAGCGAACTGGAAAATGGCCAATTAGTTCGTTGATGTCCAAAATGGTGATTTTCCATACCAGGGTACCATCAAAATGGTGATTTTCCATACCAGGGTACCATCAAAATGGTGATTTTCCATACCAGGGTACCATCCATAATTCATCATAATTCATCATGCAATTCATCATAATTCGTCATAATTCGTCATCATTCCATGTGTTTTTCCCATATCAAGTCCGAGGATCGGCTCGTTGGACGGAATCTTCTGAAAGAACCAGCCACTGTTCTGTGCTTCTTCGAGGGAACGGCCGCTGACGGCCAAGATCACCCAGCTTCCAGCCATCACGGCCTTGGTCGGTTCGGTCAATTTTTTAGGGGATCCACAGCGTTTTGTCGGACTTTGTGTGGGTGAAGGTCGTGAAGTTCCAAGATGTCACGTTTTTTTTGGTGTCAATCTTGGCAATCTTGACAGATCAACATGCGTCAATTTTATCTGAAACCACCGGTGAAAACAAAGGCCAAGTGTGCATCGAGTGCATCTAAGAGACGAGGAAGAAACTTGGTAGAACCACACCTGGCCGGTTGAGCGTTCTGTCCAACAACGCTTTCTTTGCTAGCCTAAAATCCCCTTAATATTAAATACTTATAATGTAAGAAACCATGGCCTAGTATAGTATTGGATTCATTCATGGGGACCCGTACGTGCGTATTTCATAAGGGGTGAGATCCATGTTCCGTGTTCTTCAGTGGCAGCTTGCATCGGGTGTCTCATGCCCATTCGATATCAGTACCGTGCACAACACACACATATACACATGTGTGTTTGCTGCTTGGAACATTCATACATACATACATTGATTACATTACATTACATTACCTTACATTACCTTACATTACATTACATTACATAACAGTTAACATTACATAACATTACATAGCATTACATAACATCACATAACATTACATAACGTTACAAAACATTACATAACATTACATAACATTATATACAGAATATTACATTCCATAACATTACATTACATTACATAACATTACATAACATTAGGGGCAAACCCCTCAGTTTGCCCGCGCGGACGCCAACGACATGTCCGAACATCAAAAAACACTCTGTTTTGTGGGACAAAATGCACATGTCCATGATCACGGCTTTCATCTTGCAACGCACAGCTTAGCTACGTACCTGTGCATTGAATTTATATTCATAATACCCTTGTTGGTTTTCCCAATTGAATGTAAAGTTCAACGGGGGTGGGAATTTATATTCCTAATACCCTTGTTGATCTTCCCAATTGAATGTACCGGTAAAGTTTAACGGGGGTGGGAATTTATATTCCTAATACTCATGTTGATCTACCCAGTTGAATGTAGAGTTTAACGGGGGTGGGAATTTATATTCCTAATACCCTTGTTGATCTTCCCAATTCAATGTAAAGTTTAACGGGGGTCGGAATTTGTATTCCTTCAAAATCCCTAAGAAGTTGTGTGGGCGAACTGGGGGGTTTGCGCGTAACACTACATAACATTACAAAACATTACATAACATTACATAACATTACATAACGTTACAAAACATTACATTACATTACATAACATTCCATTCCATTCCATTATATTCCATTACATTACATTACATTACATTACATACACACACATACATACATACATACATACAGACAGACAGACAGACAGACAGACATACATTGCATTGCATTGCATTACATTACACTACATTACATTACAATACATTACATTACATTACATAACATAACATATATATATATAAATACATATGTATGTATATAAAAATACTACTACTAAAACATACACATATAATACATATATATATAATATATATATACATTAAAACACAAAAAAAAATGCTGAAAATTGGCCAAAGACCCACCAGGTCCTTTTTCTTGGCCTCAAAAAACTGCACAATTCCATGATGTTTGGCCATGAACAATGGTGGCTGGGACACCAAAAACACGACTTGCCATTTTTCTGTCGGAAAAACTGCGGTGAAAAAAACCATCGATTAATTGGGGATAGCCTATTTTCAGTCAAACCCATGTGCGAACTCACAAGATATGCAAAAACCATGCATATAGTTTCCCTGTTGGAAATCATCAGGGTGTTTCTTGTGAATATTTGAATGTATATATATAAGTAACCTGAGGGTACTTCATGTTTTTTTCCAAACATAAAATGCCAAACATCTTTGTCAAACAAAAAATACCAAACATCTTTGTCACTTGAGCAGTGTTCAAAACCCTGTGTTGTCCCTTTAGTGCTAATGTTGCTAGAGATTCCCTCGTGGATTGTGATATTCTCATTGTATTGGATAGTATAATCCCATATAATTACTTGGATTTGCTTGAGGCACCCACCCAAAAAATAAACAAATGTCCTAAAGATTCCCCAAGTAGTGCATTTCCAGGTGGCTCGTTCCAAGAAGTACAGCAGCAGCGATTCCAATACGACGGTCACCAGCAGTTGCTGCCAATGTCTCAGCTGGTCTCGGAACGACGCCAAGGTCCAGGACCAGTCGATTCCGGTGCTGGTGCCCAGGCCGTAGAACACAAAATAGATGCCTTGGTTCGGTGTTCGTAAGTGGTTAGTTGAGCCCAAAAACAAATCAATGGGATAACCCATGGATAATCCAGTTAACTACATCTATCTATCTAGCTAGCTAGCTATCTATCCATCTATCTATCTATCTATCCATCGATCGATCTATCTATCTATCTATCTATTTTCCCGAGTGAATCCCAGTTAACTAAATAGTTATCATCCCATTGAACTGTACTCCGGTCCTACAAGTTGGGCGATACCTGGAAAAAGCAGTTCTCAATGGGATAGAAACCCTCTGCCAATGGGAAATCGAACAATGTGAACTCACGGACTTGCTAATGTATCTAATGTTGCTATTCATTTTTTTTTTCGTGGCAAAAAATGATCCGCCACCACGAAATCACTGGGGAAAAGCCGGACAGGATGTTCCCTGACTTTCGCTTCAATTCCTGGGAAATACAAAACGTTGGCTTTCCGATCATGTTCGGATACATTTGCCATCATTTGCCTATGTTTACCTACAAAATAGGTTTGTCGGTTTGTCTGAAAATACGTTACCCCAAAATCGTATGTGTGTGTAGTCTTGCTCTGCCCAAGATTGTATGCTTCGTCATCACACTATCCTCCTTAAAACCAAAATGTATCAAAATGTTGGGTTTGGGAATATACCCCGTCTTTGCACAAACACACGTACCATACAAAAGGTGTATGGCTAAACACCACCTAGATGCCCATGCCACCCAAGCATCCCATCAACACTGGCTTTGGAAGGGACTTGAAGACTCGTGCCATCTTGAAATAGCCTCAGCGTCCACGACGAGATCAGAACCTTCGATCCCAACTCGTGCGCCTTTGTTCAAAATGGCCAAGGGTCAAATGGTATACCTGGTCAGCCAACCAATCAAAAGACTGGATCTGTCAGTTGCTCAACTCCGAACCGTCCCTCACCGAGATCTCTAAAAACCTGCCCAATGGGTATGGTTGAAAGCTTTATGACCCCCAAACAGATCCCAAAAAATATAACACATAACATGTGCTTCATGAAGTTTGTGGGGCAAAATACCACATGCTCCGTAATCCTCATCTATTCACACCCTACTAACATCTGCAAACCATGAACCCTGTTCAGCCAAGGTTTACCAGTATTGATAATAACTAATTATAGTGTGTTCCTGCTGAAATCCAAATTTTAGTCTGTTTAAAGCCAGATGGTCTTTCTTCGTTTGTTCTCAACCTACCTACCCTACATTTTTGTGAGCATGGGGCAACGCAAAGTGGCAACAACTTGGGGGTAAATCTCAATTTTTCCTGCTTAGCCCACCCTCAGTTTCTTCGTTTTTTCAACCCGCCCACCTTCAGCCACCTTTTTCCCCGAAGTCACCATTCAAATGCCAATTGTTTGGGTAATTTAATCAGCCTTCTGCAGACCTTTCCCATCTTGCCAAAAGTTCGTTTTGTCCTTTTTTTTCCTATATCCGAATCTCCATCTCCTCAGTTTCCTGAGTTTCTCCATCTTTCATCAAGTCATATCAAGCCACCACATAACAAGAAGGCCATGGCCGTCAGAAGCGTGGCAGCTGTGTAGAGCGCCAGCGTGGTGGGAATCACCGCCTGGGGCCGCTCGGCTTTGAGGTGATGTGCCGCGGAGCTCGCCATGGCGTGGAGCATCGGGATGTTCTCCACGATGAACAACGAGACCAGGGGCACGTCTGGCCTGGCTGAACGCGCTGGAAGAAACATCTACCACCGACCCTCCAAATAGATCCAAATAGCCCAAGAAAAATGGGTGAAACAGTAGAAGTACATTGAAGTACTGTTGAAAACGATGAGGTAAACCAGGATTTTCATGGCTACGCAGAGTCTAGCTACTTGGAACAAGAACGTTACAATCTATATAATCTCTATAACTTTTGGGAAGAATCAGAGACGGGTTTAGCAAAAAAATGGCAATGTTTTAGGTGAAAAATTGGAGACGGATCTACCGGAAAATTATGATATATAATGGAAATGCAATTCAGCAGTAGATCTCTTTGATTTACAGATGAGACTCAATGTGGTGTTTGACCGCAAATATCAAAGGGTCCAATATTGCGCTTGAACAAACGTGCTGTGGCACTCTTGAATCTAAGAACAAACGGTGCATCTGGAGAATAAATCGAATAAATCCCTTTCATCTTAGGCAAGTTGACAATTGAAATGAAAAGAAGAGACCAAAAGCACTAAATAGCCGCAGAATGATGGAAAAATCAAGAACTTTGGATTTCAAGAGTCTGGACACAGATCATTATTATAACCAACGTTATCGTGTTTTTTCCCTCTTATCGTGTTTTCGAGTGAAAGCTAAAAATGGCTCATGGGGGATCATGGAAGACTAAACGAATAGGCGCGGGGTTTATTTTTACAAACTCCCACGTCACATCACGTTCACATAAAATAACACATCACATCACGTCACGTCACCTCACGTCACGTCACGCCACGTCACGTCACATCACATCATATATATATATATATATGTATATATACAGTTGAATGAACTTACTAACTTTCGTTGGTTTCGCCATGGGTTAAGACCCATTAATATAGCTGGAGCTTATACCATTTACAAGTGGGAATTGAATTCATGCAATGAAGGTAACAAGAATTTCGGAAATCCCACAACTCTTACCATGTTATTGTCGCACGGTTCACCTCATCCCAATACCACTGCACTCATTATGATAGAACTGTCGCACGGTTCACCTCATCCCAATACCACTGCACTCATTATGATAGAATATGCATCGTCACAAATATGCCTGAATAGAAAGCCATTCACATTTTTGAGGATTGACATATTTCATAAATGTTCAAAGTCTATGTCAGTACAAACGTCAGTCATGTCAGTACAATGTCTATCAATGTTTGAGGGAAATATGTCAGGCCTACATAGACTACTCATATGCAAGTCAATATGTCAGGAGCGATTTCAGTATGTCGGAAGTCATTCAGTCAATATGTAGAAATGCTCCAGAATGGACGTCAGTTTGCATCTGTGTATCCCATCCCGCCAAATATTCAACACCTCCAAAATGGTCGCAAATATGCGTAAATCCATGTAAATCCCCTAATCAATCATCGCTTCTGGTGGCTGTTAAATATTAGGGGAAAAGGATTTTAGAACATAATTACTGCTTGGTGGTTTCAACACCTCTGAAAAATATGAAAGTCAGTTGGGATGATTATTCCCAATACATGGAAAAATAAAAAAATGTTCCAAACCACCAAGCAGATTAGAACATCTGTCAAATATTTTTCAGCTGGGGATCACTCTTTGAGTGGAGTTATAGTCCGATCAGGCCACCTTTTAATCCCCTGTGAGTTTGGATCATTGCACTGGAAAAATCAAAACCGTGTTGATTGTTGGATCACATCTGTTTTTAGTTGGTTGAATCATGATTCATATAATATATATATATAATTCATTATTGTATATAGATACATACATGAGCCACCGGTGCAGTCAGATACAGTAAATATAGCACTTGAGACTTCGCGCCATCAGTCACAGTCTAAAAGTAAAAAACAAACATCAACACAAAATAATGACCATATACTATGAAGATTTATGACGATTTCCCTTTTAAAATATAGTGACCATCCGGTAATCTAAGCTAGCTACGGAACTTTTTTAAAGCCATATTTAGCCGTCAAAATGCTTGATTTTCATTGATTTTCCAGATTGCTGTGTTTTTCAATTTCTCCAGATATGATGACATCCAGTGGAGGTTTCCGAAGTCATCAACGAGGCGCTGGAGCACAGCAAAGACCAACTGACTCACAGCCGTTGACATCATTACCTCAGCGACAGCTTCCGGGCCCCGATGAAAGGTTGGGTACGGAAAGAGAAGCTCTGGTAAACTGTTAAAGTTTTTGACACGAACTGGAAAATAGACTCTTTGCATTTTTTTAACAGTTGGAGGATGATGGGCCGAGAAAAAACTATTCTTTATGAGACATGATGCGGAGAAAAGAACTAGAAAGAGCTAGAAAGAGGTAAAAGTAGAGCTAAAAAGAGCCAACAAGTGCTAACACATGAAATGGATTCAGTGTATTATCAGCATTGTTTGTTGTTTTCATGTGTTTTCTACTGACGTTCTCTTCCTGTCTCTTTCAAAAAAGGGCTCGAGAAATTGGGCGACAAATCACGATTGACAGTCCCAAGTTTAATGGTTAACGTTACTTCACTGACTTACTGTAATATCTGGTTCACTGAGGTAAGATGGGTAAATTGTAAGTAATAGGTATATAAATTGAATAAATCGAGAGTGAAACATAACATGCATAAGTTTGCAGAATACAATGACACAATGTAAAACAACAACAAAATCTCGGAAGAATTCTGAATGCTAGATGGTAAATATTCATACGTGGGTTCGAAGATGAGGCAGGAGCAGCAAAAAATCTCCAAAAATATCAAGAAGAAATCGCCATTTATAGTGGATCTTCCCATTGAAAATGGTGGATCTTTCCAAAGTTTTTTGTATGTTTACCAGAGGGTAATTAGGCTTCTGTGGAAATCAAATCGTCGGCTGCTAGGGATTCACTGAGGTGAGACTTGTCACGCTGCAGGCTGCAGAACTGCATCAGAACAGGCAGCGGATTTTTGAGACAGAAAAAACATATACCATCTGGTTATTTAACATAGCCATGGAAAATCACCATGTTTTATAGGTAAACCATCTATAAATGGGCAATTTCCCATGGCTATGTTAAATAACCAGAGGGTAGAAGTAACAGAAGAACGCAGTCAAAAAACATTTAAAAAAATAAAAGAACACCTCATTCGAGAGCATGATCATGCATGATCTATATGGTTGAATTTGAAACGACTCAACTCTGAAGTTGGCAAGCTACGTGCAACTGGCAACAACTGGTTGAGACAGTGAGGACAAGAACCGCCGAAGGATATCAACAAAACATGGGAAAATTCAGAAGTAAATATGGTGCTGCAAACAGCATGTTCGGCCCTTCTTTACAACTGCAGTGTGCCATTTTCAGGCCAAGGAGTGCCAAAACTCTTCGTATTTGTTTCCATCAAAGTGCAATAACTTCGGGCGCATAGTGTCGGGGATCAATGAACTCAATGAACCCTGACCATTCGATTACCCTCTGTGAATGATCATGGGGTTTAGCAAACGCCAGGGTTAACATCTTTATACTCCCTTTTGATGTTTCAATTATCATACTGTAATTTCATCCCCAATATCACCATGTTGTATCCCCCTGCTTACCACATTCTATACCAAATTTTCGCGCGTCCAAGGCTTCCAAGGGGCCATGCAGATCCCCAAATGATCCTGTTGATATCTGGGAAACAGAATGAGGCCCGATGCGAAAGCATCCACGAGACTGCACACCGTCGCCAAGGTCACGGCCAACAGCTGTTGACCCGCAAAGCGCCTGGTTCGCCGCATTTGCGAAAGCGGCTGGTGGAAGGTGCCCCTGGAAAATTCGAAGCTTTAAGGTAGAGCCAATGCCACAACTTCCCATTCTTGGAGGTTTAAACACCCATAGAAATGGTGAGTTCATTGTTGTCAATGGCCATTTAAGGAACCTCAATTTTTGCGGTACCTACCATGTTTTTCAGGCCTAAATTTCAGGGAATATCCCCACAGGATTTTGGCCAGAACATGCCAGAACATGCCAGAACATGGTACGTTTACGCACCTCCACAAGTTGGATCCTGAAGATCTCCCAGTGATATGTAGGTGGTAAAAGAATGTCATAAACATTCATAAACCACCTATAGCCATAGGCCATGGAATAGGTCATAGGCCATGACGTTACATATGTGGGTACCATCCCCAAATATTCCCTAATAAAAAAAAGTTACGATTACCACATTAGGTAACTTATCGAACTAGCCACCACGAGACCCGCACACTGGCTTGACTGGCTGATGGTGATCCCCTGAACCCTTCAGAATGTATAAACCACTGCAGAATTTGTTTTTTTTTATTGTATGGTTTACACATTCCTTTTGTGTTTATGAAGGGTACTATATGGTAATATGTGATCGAAAAGATGTCATATGTTACTGGATAAACGATTCATACACCAATCTGACATGTTGGGCCAAGGACGGTGTTTTCCCCAAGTAGTAGTTCCAGCGACGTTGCAGTGAGGTCGTTATAATTTACCAAATATACAATGTGGTGCCCCGCCCAGTTCTAAGTTGGCTTATAAACCCCATAAACTATAGTTATATTTCCCATAAACCCTAGTTAACCAAATTATAAGTCAACTTAACTATGGGGCACCACCTTGTATCAACTATCATCAACTATCAATAGTGACATTCCCAAGTGCGGCTTCAAAATGACCCGTTTTTTTCCTATGCCCATTCCGAGGGGATAGCTACCAGTTGGACCAGTTTTCCCAGTTAATGTGGGTAAAACAATGCCATGTTTACCATCCCCCAGTCACCACCATAAATTTATAGGTGGTATGTTTACCATTCCCAGTCATGGGTGGTAAAAATGACAGTGTTTTAACCTTTAACCACATTACATGACATGGTGAAGATCTCTGCTACAAAAAGGCAGCCTTTTTGAGTCATCGCCCTGGGAATCACCTCTATATCCCTTGGGAAAACGCAGACACTAAAACTGGTTGGAGGTTGACCTACCCCTCTGAAAAATATGAGTGCGTCTGTTGGGATTATTGTTCCCAAATAAATAATAATGTTCCAAACCACCAACCAGAAAAGTTCTTACAATTCGATCCTCTTTGAGGGAAAACACCAGTCCCATTACATTTTGAAAATCTCTTCTGGTACAAACCAGCACATGTAGAATCAGCTCTGTATCCGTAGGGAAAAACATCAAGCATCGGTGTATCAAGGAAAACTCGCCGACCGCAGTTCGATCCTACATCCAAGTGTCCAAGGGAGCGCTTTCTTCCCATGGTCCAGTGTCAAACTAGAGGGCAAACCTCGCGTTGTGGCAACACTCGTGGCAACCCCCCCATTGGAAATCTGCTGATCAGCAGAGACAACCAACTTCAACAGCTTCACTTTGATCCCAACTCTCAAACTATCTTTTTGTCTTAGGGCATATACAATTGAGACATGTGAGGTAAAAATAACATATTATATATCTAATGGGAAAAACACATAGTAAATCATGCTGGTATCTTTGGGTGCCCCTATTTAATCAGACAAACACATCTATCACCATTTGCCCTCTGGCTGTTCAATGATGCGTGATAATTATTCATCTATATATATTCCTGGGTTTTCATCAATACTTTTCCCCAACCCCCAACCCGACCCTCCGGTCCCAATATGTTGGATCTCTTCATCGATATATAGGATTTCACCACGGGGCCCTTTATACCTCGAGAGGTGGGAGGTGTTTCGTAACTGGTGAAATTATCATTGATTTACCGAACTTAAAGATGGTGATTTTCCAGTTCGCGAACTCTTAGTTTGCCAGAGGGTACCATTTTTGTAGTATGTTAATTGTAATTGGACTGCGGCTTGCGAATACTGAGTTGACATTTCCCCATGGATTTTTCTCGACATGTTTCACTAGAATTGAAACCGTCAGAGGCACTCTTCTCCTCATCCATGTCGTCATCATGCTTCGTGGAACGACGGTTCGACAGCATTGCATGGGGCTGTTCGACGAGTACAGGCAGGCCCGAAGTGAAGATTCAAGGTAGCATTGAAGGTGAAATTCAAAGTCACAGTGACATTAATCTTCAAGTTAACATTAAAGGTTTCATTCAAGTGAACATCCAAGATACTTGAACGCACCCTCTCCTTAGGAATATGTTGTTTTCCTGTTTTCCATTCTTAACGCACTATCCAACTTTTGTTTGCACCATAGTTCGGTCAGAATCTAGCTGCAATGAGGTGGTTTTCTTCATCCACTTGGCATTCTGAAGAATTTGGAATAAATCTCAAAGCTGCTTTGATCATCGTTTCCACTCCGGGTCCTGCAAACTAACCATTAATGGAAGCGCCAAACATCAAGCTTCCGGACGCGCAAATGTGGGGGGATACATCCACCGGCTGGGGATCAACCACTTAAGGGGCCCCAAACGTGGAAAATCCCGGAAATCGAGGTTGATTTCGCTGGGGCCCCATCATCAAACTAATTCTGGTTGGTGGTTGACCTACCCCTCTGAAAAATATGAAAGTCAGTTGGGATGATTATTCCCAATATATATATATGTGGGAAAATACACATGTTCCATAAAATTCATGTTCCAAACCACCAACCAGAATTAGTTTCCAGCTAGCCACGTTTGATGACGGAGGGTAACTCATCCCACTGTTATTCGGGACGGTTGACCCATGTCATCACTGGAGACATGCAAGGTGATCCAGCTGTAATGGTTGGCCATAGGTTCCTACAAAGGGATCCAGGGATCCCGTCCCAACTTTTGAACTATTACAATCCCTGTCTAAAACTAGTCCATGTATGTCCATCTCCATTTCCAAATCTACCATCTTTGTGAAACAGTGATAAATCACATGTGATCATGTGGGGGTTCCAAAAAAATGGAACAATTAAACCATCACAAATAGATCACAGTAGTAGGGGTAACTTGTCTGGAATATACGATTCGCTTTTGATCTATTCAAGCAATTTAATGTCACTGATGGTTTGGGGCCCGGTGATTCTGTGATTCCCTAATGAAAAGGATGTTCGTTGCATCGGACCTCCCCACCAAAAAAAACCAACCAAAGCACCTATCTGGATAAAATATGGTAATTCACTAACTTGAAATAAGGTTTCTTCTTATATATCAACTCAGTTATATAATATTTATGATGTTATATTGATTCATTATGATTCATTATATAATTGTATTAATCTTCCACGAATGGCTTGGAATCAGATGGTGTTTGTTAAAAGGCTGGCCACCAGCTCGCCAAAGTAAAAACCTCGCCTGGTCATGGCGGCGAATCGCGACGTTTCATCGCCCGAGTTATGGTTCTAATTTCATGGACAATCCAAAAATAAAATTGATGTAATAGTATAGTGTTACTATTCTTGTGGTTTTGATATAGTACTATATATGTAATAGTATACCATATATACCATATTCTTGTGGTTACATTACCACCAATTGATGTAAATATACCTTGTAACTATATAATACTATATAATATATCACTATGGCTAACTATATTCATATCTGGTTGGTGGTTACCATCTTGAAAAATATGAGTTCGTCAATGGGAAGGATGACATCCCATATATAATGGAAAATAAATAATGTTCCAAACCACCAACCAGAAATTGATGATTTAGGGGTAAGGAAACCTATGGAAACCTATGGAAACCTATGGAAACCTCTGGAAGCCTCTGGAAGCCTCTGGAAACCTCTAATTTCCCCTGGATGATTTAGGGGTAAGGAAACCTATGGAAACCTCTATTTGGTTCTTCCACGGATTTCTACATGAAAGATACGTGTTCTTCCAATATCCAAAGAATAAATCATAATTATATACAGTAATTGTCATCAATTATATAATCCAATAATATCCAGTAGCCAACATCATTTTGGAAAATGTCCACTGATTTCCATAACATGAAGAGGTACGGTACAGATTATTTCTTGGGTCACGACTGTACTACCCTGGCCGAAAAAAAACAAAAAAAACTGGTCAAGCTGCGGCGGGCCCTTGTCATCAAACATGGGAAAATCTCCTATAAATGGCAGTGTCAACATGGTTTAATGGAAAAAAACAAACTACCCTCTGGTAAACTAACATAGCTATGGAACATCAACATGTTTAATGGGTATTTCAGCTATAAATGGCAATTTTCAACTGCAAACTGTTAGTCATTACCAGAGGGTATACATGGTGGATTTCCAGCTATGTTTGAGTGACACCAGAGGCTAAATTTCAGGGAATATCACCACAAAATATCGTCTTATATGGTACAGTACCACCATTTTAGGATGTTAAAATTCCCATTGAATTATTCTTGTAGCACACAAGATGAATCAAAATCAAGTCGCGGTTTATGCTAGACCAGCTTTCATGATGTGAGCAACGAAACCCGAAATGTCTTTCTTTGAAAAACTTTTTGTTGTACTGGATAGATCTGGATAGTATAACCCGATATACTCAACAGGAGTTTCGCACTTCTCATGTAACTATGCAACTTCACCAAGTTCAAAATAGCATAAAATATCCATGAACTACAGGCCAGGCGCTTCAAGCAGGCCCAGACTCCCGGGCTACATCCATTGCGGCCTTTTTTTCTCGCCCGCTGCACGGGTCATTTCTAGCCGCTTCTAGCCTTTTGCTTTTGGTCGGTGGATCGGCGGATTGTATAAAAATCAGTCACACGCAAATGTGGTTGCCATCCAAAAAAATGTTGTTGTTGTTGTTGTGGTTCTGGTTCTGGTTCTGGTTCCAGTTCTGGTTCTGTTGGGTTCTTCTCCTGTTTGTTTGAATACTTCAACGAACCATCACTCCAGACTCCGCTTAGAAGCGCCTCAGACCCCGATCCATCGACACCATCTGTGGCATCACCGTCCGGTGCACAAGCCTTCTTTTGCCTTTGCATACCTTGGCAGTCCGGGTAATGAACCTAGTAGTACTTTTACAACATCATGTCCAACCAGAAATTGTTGGGGACAAGAAGTTCTAACCATTCTTGCGATTGGGAATTTAAGCCGTGCAAGGACTAATCAAGTTTTCTGTTGGACATGGGGGAGCAATAGGGAGCAAGCGAAGGTAGAGTTCCAAAGTGGACCTTGCAACAATCTCCGAAAAATGTGAGAAGCCTCTGCAACTACTGCTATTGATGGGTTGTTCTTTTTTTTTTGGATGTAGAACTGTTCGTTAAACCATGATAAACTGATAAACTGTGTCAATGGCTCTCGCAAAAACTGGTGGCAAGGCCAGCACTAAGCCGACACATTTTTGGCTAAGCCACCCATTCCAAAAATCCCGAGTCTTGCGCTCGTGAAATCCACTAATATCTGCAAGGTCAAATCACCATTGTTTATCCTGAAAAATCATGTCATTTTTCTTTAAATTGTCATTGTTTAAATCACCTGAGTTTTCCATCCAGTTTTCACAACGGTGTTTCATCCACTTTTCACTGGTTTTTCATCCACACATTCACTCGTTCCGAATGGTGAAATCGCGGGCTGGTGAGTCCTTGCTGAGTTTCCAGACCCTTGGAAAAGGATCACATCATGACCTTCAGCGTCCTGGGTATGCCTGGCTGCCGCGGGGGCTCAACATATTTGGGGAAACATATGTGGGAAAAAAGTTGTCAAATTCTCAAGTTACATGGTGATATGAATGGGATATTGATACATGTTATAAACTATATGATTTTTTTTGGTCGTCTATATTCAATTTTTAAGGATTCTACACTTCCAATTGGCTTATATGTGTATATATATATACATATATCTGGTTGGTGGTTGACCTACCCTCTGAAAAATATGCTCGTCAGTTGGGATGATTCTTCCCAATATATGGAAAGTCATAAAATTCGTGTTCCAAACCACCAAGCAGTGTATATTATGGCCAGAAGATATCTATCACTCTTTCTAGTAGATGTTGTTTCACTTTTCTTCCCGATGTTTCCACATGTTTCCAAGAAAACCCCCTGGTTATATATGTATATTATATTGATAGCGGAATTTACCAACAAAACCATGATGAATTCACCAAGAGACCCTGATCTCCAAGCAAAAAGATGGGAATGCAAGGGGCCGAGATACGGTTGGGTTTCAAGGGATATTAGGGATATTTTATGGACCTTCTATGGGATTCTGGTGACCATAATGTTTGTGGGTATTTATGGATCTTCTATGGATATTCTATGGATGTTTGTGGTGGATATCTTTGCAGGTGGGATTAAAAACAACTTATAACTGGAACCTCCTGTGGCTTTGAAAGTGAAGATAAGTCAAAGATATTCAACACCACAAACCTTCCCGAAGAAACACACTCGGTCATGCTTCACAAAGTCATGTATAATAGTAAGATCTGATTGGGTTTCAATCAGTTTCAATCATCATGGGACATCAAAGCAAAAGGCCCAGGGGTGCGGAAAAAAATTGCCATCCCTGATCTGCCGCAAGATGATTTATCTCATAGCCTTACAAGCCTACTAGGATCCAGGATCAGGAACTAAAACCAATCTGGATCATATGCTCCACCAGTCTAGGGACTATTTGGGCGTTTCTAAAGTCATGTGGGATCCCCAGTCGTCACCATGATACCATGATTGTTTCAATACTGAGTCATGGTCATTCCTGACTTTGATGATTTGGAGGTGCCCGCTCCTAACTTAGGAAACATCCATTTCCCCTAAAGCCTTGAGGTGCCCTCTCCTAACTTAGGAAACATCCATTTCCCCTAAAGCCTTGAGGTGCCCTCTCCTAACTTAGGAAAATCCATTTCCCCTAAAGCCTTGAGGTGCCCTCTCCTAACTTAGGAAACATCCATTTCCCCTAAAGCCTTGAGGTGCCCTCTCCTAACTTAGGAAACATCCATTTCCCCTAAAGCCTTGAGGTGCCCTCTCCTAACTTAGGAAACATCCATTTCCCCTAAAGAGGTGCCCATCCATTTCCCATCCATC